CAAATAGGGGAAGGGTTTACTACCACGTTCTTTTGGTGGGTGACAAGCAAAATTGTGGATTGGATTAATTATATCTATTACGACCAACAATGATTTATTGGCTAGACTAGGGGTGCAGCAAAAGGGATCTTTGAACAATTATCCGCCATCTCACTCTTATAACTTAGTAAAAAGAGGTTGGCTCTAGATCAGGCAAAAAGGGGCGGTGTCTATAGAATTGTAAGCCATTGTTGTACGTTTATCCCTAACAATACCAGTCCTGATGGGAGTATCTCTAAAGCCCTAGTTGGTTTAGATAAACTATCAGCTGAAATGAATAGCATGGCTTGAATGGAGGGAAACGGACTGTTCTCCTGGTTGGGGGAGTGGTTTGGTAAGTACGCATTATTGGTGGTTACTGGATTTCTAACCCTAATTGTTTGTTTTGTAATTTTGGTGTGTTGTGCTGCCTGTATTATCCCTTGTCTGAGAAAGTCTGTTACAGATGTCGTGCACGCTGCGGGTGTGATGCCTTTGCTCGAGGCACAAGAAGGAGATGCAGACACTGAGTTTAACTTTCGGAGGAAACTGGGGTTGACAAAAGATGACCCTTGGTTTGCTATTGGTGAGGTGGTGTGGTGACACCCTAGTGGTGTCACCACTCCACTAGGGTTATCATTTTTGGGAATCAAAATTCCCTGTTTGTGTTTTTATGTTTTATAAATCCATTTTAACTATTGTGAATATTTGTCTTTCCTTATGTGAAGGCTTGAAGTTCCTGGGTGGCTGGTAGCCAACCTAGTACAAGTTAGGTGTAGATGGAAGGACTGAAGGCTTTTTTATTATCATTTTTGCCTATTAATAAAAGTGTGATTCTTTTTGATTGTATTGTATTTTAATGAGTGACACCCTAGTGGGTGTCAAAAGGGGGAATCCTACATTTCCCTGAAATTTCTTATTTTGGGTTCACACCCAGCGGGTGTGAAAAGGGGGATTGTTGGGATCTATTTTCTTACAATTAGATGTGATGCCTTGCTTAAGAAGAATACATTAATGATTAAACATAATAGGTTTGTACTGTACTGATATAGATTGTTTAACATAACAAGCTGTGATTAATGTGGGGAACCATTAGGGGAGAGGCTGAGATAGACTTGTGAGACACACATACACTGCCTCTTTGTTAAACCGCTCAAGGACATGTGTACTGCTACAATGAAGAAGTGCTGACTCTCGACAAGTTGTAGAAACAACTAATGCCTGGCAACAGAGAAGCGCCAAGGGTCTGGGACCAGCCTGAGCGCCAACGATAGGCTGGGTAATTTTAATCCACGCCCAGCCTCTATTCTGACAGGCCAGCCTGGAGCAGGAACTATCTCTGTCAGAGTATTAAAGAATAACTTTGGGTTGGGACAGTTAGTTCCCTGTCTGCCCTGCGTGGTGTTTCAGTGAGCCCGTATATACGAACGTCATATTTACCACTCAAGTGTTTGCATTAATTAAAATACTAGTAAAACTTAGAAGAGGTGTGTTGACATCTTTTGTTCCAATACCAGATTCGAATGGACGCAACCTAACAGTACGCCGACTAACCACATACACAACTGGTAGTTACTACCTAGCACATTTCATCCACTCGTTATATCATCAACGATCGATCGGTTTTAAAATTGCATTCACCACAATACACGCTTCATACATTCAACTAATAATTGTTTATTACGTTTCAACTTTATAAGTTATAGAATTTGGTAGCTTACATCAAACAGGTGTCTCTCAAAATAAATTTGGATAATGCCAATATGCAGAACTTTAGTTATTCACAATAGGTGTCTGCTTAACTTTTTGTCTGACCGGTCAGGATTTGTGAGGCACACCGTCCGACGACAGAAATGGCCAATCGGCCGGACAAGTTCCAGCGAAGTCCTTCTACCAGATCACGTTGGTGGTCACCAAATGTTAAGTTGCGTCATTCGAATCTGGTATCAGAACATAATTTAACACTAAGTCACTGAATATATTCTCAGCTTTTTCATTAATATAATTAGTCAAGCGAATAAATGGTAAATGCAATCTTCGTATATACGGGCTCACTGTAACACCTCACAGGGCTAACAGAGAACTAACTGTCCCAACCCAAAGTTATTATTTTAATACTCGGACAGAGATAGTTCCCGTTCAAAGTGGGCCTGTCAGAGTAGAGGCTGAGTGTGGTTTAAACTTACTCAGCCTATCGTTGGCGCACAGGCTGGTCCCAGACCCTTGGCGCCTCACTGTTGCCGGGCATTAGTTGTTTTTTGCAACTTGTCTCGAGAGTCAGCAACTCCAGACATAGTTTCCTCTTCTTCATTGTTGCAGTACACATGTCCTTGAGCGGTTTAACAAAGAGGCAGTGTGTGTGTGTGTCACAAGTCTATCTCAGCCTCCCCCTAATGGTTCCTCACATTAGTCACAGCTTGTTATGTTAAACAATCTATATCAGTACAGCACAAACCTTTTATGTTTAATCATTAATGTATTCTTGTTAAGCTAGGCATCACATCTAATTATAAGAAAATAGATCCCAAATACCTCTAGTTAGTGTCTGGTCTATTAGCAATGTTACCCAACAGACTAGTTCTGTCTGGTCTATTAGCGATGTAACGGAAGAGAACAGTACAGTACAGAGCAGAGTCTGTCACCTCAGCAGAAGAGATCTCCAGATCCACACGTTTGGCCTTTTTGTCTTGATTTAGGGTGAACCCTGGTGTATTATCCACATACTCCATAACCACTAACTGTGGTGCTGATTTGGGATATTGTGCTAACGTAGAGTGTCACCAGAAGAGGTGTAGTTACAAGAGAGAGAAACTCGGTTCCTTTCTGAAGACACTTCTTCATCAGTGTAGGGTGTTAATACCTGTTCAGAACTGAGACCTGTAAAACATAATATTATACACTGCTCAAAAAAATTAAGGGAACACTTAAACAACACAATGTAACTCCAAGTCAATCACGCTTCTGTGAAATCAAACTGTCCACTTAGGAAGAAACACTGATTGACAATAAATGTCACATGCTGTTGTGCAAATGGAATAGACAACAGGTGGAAATTATAGGCAATTAGCAAGACACCCCCAATAAAGGAGTGGTTCTGCAGGTGGTGACCACAGACCACTTCTCAGTTCCTATGCTTCCTGGCTGATGTTTTGGTCACTTTTGAATGCTGGCGGTGCTTTCACTCTAGTGGTAGCATGAGACGGAGTCTACAACCCACACAAGTGGCTCAGGTAGTGCAGCTCATCCAGGATGGCACATCAACGCGAGCTGTGGCAAGAAGGTTTGCTGCTGTGTCTGTCAGCGTAGTGTCCAGAGCATGGAGGCGCTACAAGGAGACAGGCCAGTACATCAGGAGACATGGAGGAGGGCAACAACCCAGCAGCAGGACCGCTACCTCCGCCTTTGTGCAAGGAGGAGCAGGAGGAGCACTGCCAGAGCCCTGCAAAATGACCTCCAGCAGGCCACAAATGTGCATTTGTCTGCTCAAACGGTCAGAAACAGACTCCATGAGGGTGGTATGAGGGCCCGACGTCCACAGGTGGGGGTTGTGCTTACAGCCCAACACCATGCAGGACGTTTGGCATTTACCAGAGAACACCAAGATTGGCAAATTCGCCACTGGCGCCCTGTGCTCTTCACAGATGAAAGCATGTTCACTCTGAGCACATGTGACAGACGTGACAGAGTCTGGAGACGCCGTGGAGAATGTTCTGCTGCCTGCAACATCCTCCAGCATGACCGGTTTGGCGGTGGGTCAGTCATGGTGTGGGGTGGCATTTCTTTGGGGGGGCGCACAGCCCTCCATGTGCTCGCCAGAGGTAGCCTGACTGCCATTAGGTACCGAGATGAGATCCTCAGACCCCTTGTGAGACCATATGCTGGTGCGGTTGGCCCTGGGTTCCTCCTAATGCAAGACAATGCTAGACCTCATGTGGCTGGAGTGTGTCAGCAGTTCCTGCAAGAGGAAGGCATTGATGCTATGGACTGGCCCGCCCGAATCCAATTGAGTACATCTGGGACATCATGTCTCGCTCCATCCACCAACGCCACGTTGCACCACAGACTGTCCAGGAGTTGGCGGATGCTTTAGTCCAGGTCTGGGAGGAGATCCCTCAGGAGATCATGTGCCACCTCATCAGGAGCATGCCCAGGCGTTGTAGGGAGGTCATACAGGCACGTGGAGGCCACACACAGTACTGAGCCTCATTTTGACTTGTTTTAAGGACATTACATCAAAGTTGGATCAGCCTGTAGTGTGGTTTTCCACTTAAATTTTGAGTGTGACTCCAAATCCAGACCTCCATGGGTTGATACATTTGATTTCCATTTGATAATTTTTGTGGGATTTTGTTTTCAGCACATTCAACTATGTAAAGAAAAAAGTATTTAATACGATTATTTCATTCATTCAGTTCTAGGATGTGTTATTTTAGTGTTCCCTTTATTTTTTTGAGCAGTGTATATTGTAGATAATACTTTATACCCACATATAAGATTGAATTAATTCCAAATCAATGTAATGATGAAAATAATTTATAATCTTTGATTTGAAAAATAAATACACCTTAACATAACAACACTCAGTTTCAATGAAAATGTCATGACTTACCTATCAAGTCAAAGAACAGTAAAAGTGAACAGAACACCATTGTAGATGGCAGGATGTGTAGAATAAGCACCAGCTGCTGATGAAAAGCACAGCATCAACTGGCTATGATCTTCATGGTAGCATCATGTCTTATCTTGATGATTCATAATCTGATCCTGAGTTTTATACTCTAGCTCCTCCTACTGACTATGTTGAAACAAATATATTTTATACGTACATTTAATAGCAGTTTACAAATGATTTATGCATTAAATATTCCACTTGATGGCGATGTGGTCAAACAAAATACATTCAATGCATGTAAATATATAACTAACTGACAGGTCTCTATTCTGCTGAGTGCTGTAGTCAGTGAGTTATGTATCACTGTGGGCTATACATTACAGTAGTACAGAGCTGAGTCTCTCACTTCAGCAGAGGAGATCTCCAGATCCACACAGGTCTTCTCTTTGTTCAGTTTAACAGTGAGGTGAGAGTATGGAGGTTTAGCTCTCACTACAGTCCTAGAGGCATTGTGGATGAAGAGGAGGAGTTGGGGAGCTGATCCTGGATACTGTTTATACCACAGTACACTGTATGCTGAGGAGTAGTTGCAGGAAAGCTGAACATTACTACCCTCCTCTCCATACACTTCATGTTGGTTTGGCTGGATGGTCTGCTGAAAACTGTCACCTGCAAATGTTAAGAGGTGATGGATAAATTACAAGGAAGATGTATTTGAAATGAGGAAAGATCTTGGTATTGACACGGACACGGAGGCGGACACGGAGGCGCAGGTGCCAAGACCAGAGTAGGCGCGTAAACAAGATGGCGTATTGAATAGAAATCGGTACAAAACACCTCAAGATAAAAACATAATATTCAAAATCAGTAAGTTAGACTAAATATTAGCATTTCATATATTCGCAGTTAATATAATTCAATCTGGATAATAACAGAAATAAGATCATAAGGCTAGAGAAATATATCGACAAATATTACTACAACAAGCAACACCCAAACATGACTGAAGACAAGCGTGGAGAGCCGATCCCCAAAAGAAAACGCGACTCATCGACAGATACAGATGATATATGCTTTTCACCACTAGGTATGGTAAGTGTGGAAAGCGACCTGTTGAAGTCGATAAATGACAAATTGGGCATACTAGAACTGGTCAGTAAAGACGTAAAAGAGTTGAAAGCGAGTCTTCAAATGAGTGACGAAAAAGCTTTGGTAATGGAGAAAGAAACCAAATAAATAAAAGTGACAGTCTCTAAAATGGAAACGGACGTTAGGGAATTAAAAAAGGAGAACAATCTTCTGAGAGAAGCCTTACTAGACATCCAAACTAGATCGATGAGGGAAAATCTAGTACTTACGGGTATTCAGGAAAAGGAGGGAGAAATAACAGAGAATATTATGAAGGACTTCCTGCATACAGCGCTGCAAATCCCACTCGAGGCTGTCGATAAAATCCAACTCGAACGTGTACATCGTTTCGGAAAAAGAGGACAGAAATATGAGCGCCCAATCGTTGCCAAATTTGCTTTTTTAAGGACAAAGCTATGGTGAAAAGCCTGGGAAGGAGACTTGCTGGCACGAAAATAGGCATGAATGATCAGTTCCCGAAGGAGATTGTAGAAAGGCGCAAAGTTCTGTATCCAATCTTCAAGGAAAACAGATTAAAAGGGAAACGTGTTGCACTAGTGGTGGATAAATTATATATTGACAACCAAATGTTCAGAGACACAAAGACTACTCCATGGCTATTCTAAAAGTTGTAATGGAGGAGTCAAATATTGGAGCACCTGATACTAGCAATGATAGGGATTGTAATATTAAATAATATTTATAGTAAGTATAGTATTTTATAAATGGATAAAACGATATAACAAGCAGAATAATACATCTTTAAATACAAATAATTAGAACATGGCTTTTTTGGCGGGAGGTTGTTGTTTTTGCGGATGGTTGTTGTGGTTGGTCCTGTGTTCTCTCTGGCGTCCTTTCCCCCTTGCAGAAGATGTGGATGCGGGTGCGTTTGCACGCTCGGCCCATTTCTTCCGCAGTCAGCCATGTGGTGTGCATTTTTGTGTTTGAAAATTTACGGCGTTAAGTGAGTGAGAGGGGAAATGGTTGCATATCACAGAGCCGACCGGGGGTCTATGAACAGGGGTAGTGAGAGAGAGAGCTTTCAATTTTGTGTAGATGAGGGATATACATTTTTAAATATAGTAAACATCTAATCTAATTATTCATTGTCCTATCATGATGGAAAGATCCCTAACCCTATAACCTGGACACCCACCTGAGCGACCCATACACCAAAGAGAAGTTCCCATCTATTTTATGGACCTGCTGTGAATATGCAGCCTAAATAGAGAAATAAATGCGGTCAGAGACCTACTTGAGCAGCACCGCCCCCTCAAGATTCTGAGCCTGCCTGGCAGGGTTGGTCCTACAAAGCCAGAGCCCCCTGATGGGAGAGCATAATATACAAGGAAATTCTCAAAGCTGCTAATGAGAACCTTGACGACCTTTTACCTAGCCGGTGGGGATTCCGGTGGGGTACGCCCACCCAGGTAGTGGCAGTGCTGGCAACACTGGCTGCAGTAACCCATGGGGAGGGGGTCACACTCGGACAATCAGAGAGGGGGTTTATCATTGTGGCCCAGGTGGCACAAAATAATCAAAGGTCTGACCGCATGGAGATGCTTGGGAAAATGGTTACAACAGGGGATCAGAGTGTTTGTGTCTCAGGTGAAGAGGGTGGATCTGACCTCCATCACCTAGGACTTGACATAGATTAAGTAGATTAATCAAATCTCACATTGTTGTCAATTTCTGCTCAATTTGCATGCTTTCTCAATCAGCTTTAACTGTATGTGCACTCGTAGATCAAGTTATTTCTCGGGTTGGGCTCTGGGATATAACAGCCGTTGAGTATTGGATTTTATGGTGGATTGTGGAGGAGGGGGGTTGAGTGTGTTGGAGTATGTGAGTATGTGCGTGTGTGCTGGTCTGGCATCTGTTGTGGGGGGGGTGGGGATGTTGGGGGGGTATGGGATGGACCGCGGGAATTATTTGCTAGGATAATAATTGCTTGTCAATGAATTAAATGTAATATAATGGCAATCCTGGTTATATGTTAGAATCCTATGCGTGAACTGCCGACATTATTACGCATATTAATTGATAATGATGGAAAATAGGATATGCATAATAAAATAAATAAATAATAGTTATATAGATATATATATATAGAGGTGAAAGCATTGGAAATGCTTTTGGCGGTTAACCTGCTTCTGTTTTGTGGGTGGCACTGTGTGCTGTTTTCGATGGATGGGTCCTGGCCTCTCAGGGCCTTAGGGATACGGAGGGACGTGGGGGGGATGCTGATCACTGGGATGACGGCTCAACTTGGGATGGGGAGGGGCTTTAGCGGGGGAATTAGTGGAGAACAATTGAAGGGTTACTCCGTAGCAATGCAAATATCACGGTACAGCTATATGGACACTCAATCATTACGCTATTTTTTATTGGTAAATTTACAAACATATATAATGATAAATAGACTTGAAACTTGTATCTCATTATGGTGTATGGTGAAATAAGTATAGCCAGTTATAATTGTAATGGCTTAGCTGATAATAACAAAAGAAGAACAATATTTACATGGCTCAAAGAGAAGGAATATAATATCTATTGTATACAGGAAACTCATTCAACAATTCGAGATGAAGTAGCGTGGAAAAAAGAATGGGGGGGGGAAATATACTTCTCCCATGGGCAAAGAAATTCAAAAGGGGTGATGATATTAATTAATAGTAATTTCGATCCGAATGTGCAAATTGTCCAAATAGATACGCAAGGTAGATGGATTATTTTAAATATGGTATTGGACAATAAACAGATATGGCTCATTAACCTTTACGGACCAAATAATGATGATCCACAATTCTTTGACAATATATATAATAAATTATCAAGCCTGCAAGCAACTCAAGACAATATTATTATGGTGGGGGATTATAATACTGTTTTAAATAGCTCAATGGACCGAAAAGGAAATCACACCACAAACAATCACCCACATGCTCTTAAGGAAATTGTGAATGTCATGGATACATTAGAACTAGTAGATATATGGAGGCTTAAATATGCTGATCTAGTGAGATATACATGGCGGAGACTGAATCAAGCTAGTCGTCTTGACTTCTTTGTTATCTCATTCTCGTTGGCACCAAAAGTAAAAAAAGTGTTGATAGGGGACAGAATGCGGTCGGACCATCATATAATAGGCATATACATTACTCTGACTGAATTTCCACGTGGGCGAGGATATTGGAAATTTAATCAAAGCCTATTAGATGATAATTTATTTATAATTAGAACAAAGGAATTTATAACTGACTTTTTCCAACATAACTTAGGTACAGCGAATCCCCTTATTGTATGGGACACCTTTAAATGTGCCTTTAGAGGCCATGCAATTCAGTACTCATCTCGAAAACAAAAGCAATTTAGGTCAAAAGAGTTTATACTAAGAAAGGAAATAGAAAGTCTAACAGAACAGATAGATGGCAATAAAAACTGTAACATAGAGGCTCAGAATAAATTAGAGGAAAAACAAAAAGAAATGGAAAAACTTATTCAAGAAAGATCAAGTGTAATATATTCTTTTTTAATCTTCAACATAGGAATGCTACCAAAAAGAACTTAATGAAACTGGTTACAATTGATGGAGTCACCCATAATTCACCTAATGATATTTTGAAGGAAGAAACAAAGTATTTTAAGCATATGTTTTCTTTTCAGTCGCCTCCATCTCCTCTAACTGAAGCTAATTGTAGAGATTTTTTTCCTATTGATAATGTCAAATTAACAGCCACACAGAAAGACTCATGTGAAGGTGAAATTACAGAGGAGGAACTTCTGGATGCAATTAAAGACTTTAAGTCCGGGAAAACTCCAGGGTTGGATGGCATACCAATCGAGGTATACCAAACCTTTTTTGAAATACTAAGAGGACCGTTATTAGCATGTTTTAACCACTCCTATGTAAATGGTAGATTATCTGACACTCAAGAAGAAGGTCTGATCTCATTATTACTGAAACAGGATACAAGTGGAAAATATAAAGATCCAGTCCATTTACAAAATTGGAGGCCCCTTACACTTCAGTGTTGTGATGCAAAAATCCTAGCAAAATGTATAGCGCATAGAATTAAAAAGGTATTGTCGGATATTATTCATTCTAATCAGACAGGTTTTTTACATGGAAGATACATTGGAGACAATATAAGGCAAGTATTGGAAACAATAGAACACTATGGAAAATATGGGAAACCAGGCCTGCTATTCATAGCAGACTTCGAAAAGGCATTTGATAAAGTTCGACTGGAATTCATATATAAATGCCTGGAGCATTTCAATTTTGGAGAATCTCTTATAAAATGGGTCAAAATCATGTATAGTAACCCTAGGTGTAAAATAGTAAATAATGGGTATTTCTCAGAAAGTTTCAAACTGTCAAGAGGAGTGAAACAAGGTTGTCCACTATCGGCATATCTATTTATTGTGGCCATCGAGATGTTAGCTATTAAAATCAGATCCAATAATAATATCAGAGGATTAGAAATACAGGGCTTAAAAACAAAGGTGTCATTGTACGCAGATGATTCATGTTTTCTTTTAGATCCACAACTAGAATCCCTCCACAGCCTCATAGAGGATCTAGATACATTTTCTAACCTCTCTGGATTAAAACCAAATTATGACAAATGTACTATATTACGTATTGGATCACTAAAAAATACAATTTTTACATTACCATGTAGTTTACCAATAAAATGGTCTGATGGTGATGTGGATATACTCGGAATACATATCCCAAAGGAAATAAATGATCTCACTTCAATAAATTTTAATAGAAAGTTAGCAAAAATAGATAAGATCTTACTACCATGGAAAGGAAAATACCTGTCAATTTGTGGAAAAATCACCCTGATTAACTCTTTAGTATTATCCCAGTTTACCTATTTGCTTATGGTCTTGCCTACGCCTAGCAAACAGTTTTTTAAATTATATGAGAAAAAAATATTCAATTTTATTTGGAACGGCAAGCCAGACAAAATTAAAAGAGCATATTTATATAATGAATATGAATTCGGAGGACAGAAATTATTAAATATTAAAGCATTAGACCTATCACTAAAATCTTCAGTCATCCAAAAGTTATACTTAAATCCGAACTGGTTCTCAAGCAAATTAATAAGATTGTCTCACCCACTGTTCAAGAAAGGCCTTTTTCCCTTTATTCAGATTACAACCTCTCACTTTCAGTTATTTGAAAAGGAAATAATCTCCCAAATGTCACTATTTCTAAAACAAGCCATAGAAAGTTGGTTACAATTTCAATTTAATCCTCCAGAAACGACAGAACAAATAATGCAACAAATATTGTGGTTAAATTCAAATATACTAATTGACAAAAAACCTATATTTATTGACAGAATGTTTAAAAAAGGTATAATCTTCGTAAATGATATCATCGGTAGGACTGGTGGAGTTATGTCGCACATGCAGCTAATAAAAACATATGGAAATGTCTGCTCTACCCAAAATTACAACCAAATAATTGCAGCCATACCGCAAAAGTGGAAGAGGAAAGTTGAAGGGGGAGAAAGTAAGGAACTTGTCTGTCGGCCTTGCATTAAAGAACATAATTGGTTAAGGAAAACTGTGATAAATAAAAAAGTATATCAGTTTCACTTAAGGACCAAAGGATTCACAGCAGTCCCATATAGATTGCAAAATAGTTGGGAAGAGATCTTTGACGTACCGATCCCATGGCATAGTGTTTATGAACTGACACGCAAAACGACACCGGATTCAAAAATTAGAATCTTTCAATTTAAATTATTATATAAAATTCTTGCTACCAATAGAATGTTATTTATATGGGGGATACAATCTTCCCAGCTCTGCAGATTTTGCTGTGAAGAGATAGAATCATTAGATCATTTGTTTTGGTTCTGTCCATTTGTAGCTTGTTTTTGGACACAGGTCCAGGAATGGCTAAAGGATTGCAATATTTACCTGGAACTAACCTTGCAGATAGCATTACTGGGTGATCTGAAAAGTCATAGTCAATCAATCAATAATATAATAATACTTTTAGCAAAAATGTTTATTTTTAATTCACAATCTGTAGAAGCAATGAGAATAGAAAGGTTCAGAACTTTTGTAAAACATCACAGTATGGTTGAAATATATATGGCAAATAGAAATCCTATATGGATGGTGTTAAGAGATAGATGGGAGGTATTGAATAGAGTTGAAGGATGGGACTAATAACAAATAACAACAAATAATAACAAAGATAGCTAATAATGTAAGCATACTGTGTCCATAATAAGTATATAGGTTGTATGTTGGGAGCTTTTGGGAAGGAGCACAGTTAGAAAGATATGGCATTTAGAGGCAAACCGGATGGACATCATGAAGATGATCGGAGAGGTTGAGAGTAGAAGAAGTTCAGGAGAAAAATAAATAAATAGATGTGTATATGTATATGTATATATATATATATATATATATATATATATATATATATATATATATATATATATATGTATGTGTGTGTGTGTGTGTGTATGTATGTATATATATACTGTATATATATAGATTTAGAATTATTGTAAAATTAACTCTGTCCATAAGGTGTAGATAGTGAGTATGGACCGGAAGTAGAGGCCTGGGCGTTGTTGTTCACTAATTTACTCCAAGTAGGGAAAGGATGGTGGGGTTGAAAAGTAATAAAGGGGAATATATATATATAAAAAATAAAAATAATTATGGGGGATTGGAAGTGATGCAGACAATTACATTGATAGAAGATACAATCTATCTGCAATATTAAGCTGATCCTTCCCCCCGAAAAAAAAAAAAAAAAAAAAAAAAAAAAAAAAGATCTTGGTATCTACTCTCAAATCCAATAATTCGGGTAAACTATACATTAGCCTAAAACATGTAGTTAAAAGAATGACAGGAATACAGTAATTGTGTAGCTGGAGATTATTGTTGTTTTAACATACATTATTCATCCACACCCCTGCCCTAAAATATGCATAAGAGGAGTTTATCATGAGCTGTCAGGTTTTTGTACAGTGTTTCTGGGTTTCCTGTCACTGTGGGCCTCATGGCACAGTAGTACAGAGCAGAGTCTGTTACATCAGAAGAGGAGATCTCCAGATCCATGCGGGTTATCTCCATATTCAGTTTAGAAGACAGTCGTGGGTATGGAGGAGTAGCGTTCACTACAGAGGGGCTTGATGAGACTGTAGTGAGAAGTAGGAATTTGGGAGCTGATCTGGGATACTGTCGATACCATTGGAGGTTGTATGGTGAACCAGAGTAGTTGCAAGACAGTGTAACAAAGCCTCCTTCATCACCATGCATTATCTTTGTGGTTGGTTGAACTTCATCTTGGTAACTGCCACCTGAAAAATATATTGAATCTGAGCACTGGATTCTGTTCATGTTTAAGGTATTTGAACAAATCCATCTCCACAATCATTATTTACTAACATTGTCAATGGATTTTGATGTTTCGAACTGCAGCTCACTATCAGTGTTACTCTTTCATTTTGAACCTTGTTTAAACAGTGGCTATAATGAACATTCAGAAAACTCACCAACAATTGCAGAAATGAATAAAAGTGGATAGAGGAACATGATGGTTGAAGTTCAGCAGCTCTCTCAGTAACACTAAGGTACCACTCCCCTGTGGCAGACTAAAATGCCATCCTCCTGTGGTTTGCTTAGCTTAGCTCCTTCTCTTGAATAGATAGCAGTGTTTTTACAGTGTGTGTAGGTTTCCTGTCACTGTGGGCTAAAGGGCACAGTAGTACAGTGCGGAGTCTGTCACTTCAGCAGAATAGTTCTCCAGATCCAAGGGGGTTCTCTCATCGTTCAGTTTAGCAGTCATTCTTGGGTATGGAGGAGTAGCTTCCACTACAAGTGGAGTTGCAGTGTCTGTGAGGAGGAGGAGGAATTGGGGTGCTGATCCAGGGTACTGTCTGTACCCCTGGAGATTATTAGCATTTACTGTATAGTTACAGGAGAGCTGAACTCTGCTACCCTGTGTGAATTGTGAGAAGGGCCATCTATAACAAATAACACTGTTACACATTGTTTATATTCCCAAGTGCTTTTCCAACCACTTGATGGCACTATTGTCAAATGAAACCAGGAACTACAGAGCAGACAGTTTTTGTACGGTGTTTCTGGGGATTCCTGTCACTGTGGGCTTCAGAGCACAGTAGTACAGAGCAGAGTCTGTCAATTCAGCAGAGGAGATCTCCAGATCTACACAGGTCTTATCTTTGTTCAATTTACCAGAGAAATGAGAGTCAAGAGATTCAGCTCTATATCCAGTCACAGTGGAGTGCAGGATGAGCAGAAGATATTGGGGAGCTGATCCTGGAGGCTGCTTATACCATAGTAGACTGTACGCTGAGGAGTAGTTGCAGGAAAGCTGAACATTACTACCCACTTCTGCATACACTTCATGTTGGTTTGGCTCGATAGTCTGCTCGTAACTGCCTCCTGCAAATGGGAAGAGATTAACGTTGAGTAATTTTTTTATTGAAATAACAATGTATTTTTATTTTCAAAACAGAAAACATGACACTACTTGAAAGCCAAAACTGACCTATTACTGATAACATAATAATTGACCAGATTAACAACATAGCTGGGGTTGGAAGTCAAACTGACTAATATCACAACAGTATCTGAATACTCTACAACTTTATCTGCATGGTTTTCAGTTGATAATTTCTGCTTAGTTTACTTACAAGCTCCACCCCAAAGTACAGTTGCTCTAAAGATGCTCAATCTCTCCTCTCCTCTCCTCTCCTCTCCTCTCCTCTCCTCTCCTCTCCTCTCCTCTCCTCTCCTCTCCTCTCCTCTCCTCTCCTCTCCTCTCCTCTCATCTCCTTCCCTTCCTGTCACTGTTGGCCTCAGAGCACAGTAGTACAGATCAGAGTCTGTCACTTCAGTAGAGATCTCCAGATCCACACAGGTTCTCTCCTTGTTCAGTGTAACAGACAGTCGAAAGTCTTGTGGATCACCTCTCACTTCATATGGATTATTGGTAGTTGTTATGAGGTAGAGGAATTGGAGACCTGATCCAGAGTACTGTCTGTACCACAGCAGACTACCTGCTTTTACTGTATAGTTACAGGAGAGCTTAACTCTGCTACCCTCTAAATAATACCCCTCAGGGCTGGTTGGAGTAATATCATCCTCTAAAGTATCACCTGTGAAGGAGAATAAATTACACATGAAGACTAATATATACAGTACATGACTAGAACTTCAGATTTCATAATTGAAGCATAACAATAATCAAGAATAATATAGTGCCAATAGACAGTATGGAATTTACTTTACATTAAACCTTACTTAGCAAGTGGTGAAAACAGTAAGATTGATGTGAGCAAAATCATGGTGTATGTGACAGAAAACGCAGCTATAGGACAGGGGTTATCTCAACTGTCTGATATGCAGTGTACTGTTTGATATGTGATATGCAGTGTACTGTGATCTGCAGGGTGTGATATGTGATATGTTCTGTATGGCTGCTGTCTGTCTGCCCTGCAACTACCTCCACTGTCAGGAGGAGGAGACACCTGCTCAGAGAAATAGAGGTGTGTGTAGTGTTGAGGTGAGGCCCTCTACAGAAGATAGGGAGATACACTGTATATCTTGTTGATTTAAATGGTATTGATTGCGGTGAAGAAGGACTGATAATGTGGACTTCTTTAAGCGTTAAGGTGTTGTAATCCTGAGTTGGAACTGACAGATAATAATTAGATCTGAAACAGTTCACAACAAGGATTGTTATCCCCTGATTCTGTACAGTTGTTATACAGTATTGTAGTGTTTCTGGGTTTCCTGTCACTGTGGGCCTCAGAGCACAGTAGTACAGAGCAGAGTCTGACACTTCAGCAGAGGAGATCTCAAGATCCACACGGTTCTTCTCATCATTTAGATTGACTGAGAGTAAAGGATCCAGACCTGGTGCCTGTGATGGAGAACCAACAACATCCATGATAAGATTTCCAGGATAAGCAGGTCTGACCATTACTGTCACCTGCAAGAGATGCAAAATATGTTATTCTTCTATTATTACTCTGTTATAGATCTATTTTCAACGCATCAACACTTAGTTTAGATTCAAAATAACGGCACAAAAAATTTACTAATTATAGTAGATTACTTAAATGCAAGTACCAAAAGCAAAATAAATGTGGGGGTTGACATTGTGGCTGAAACTGGAAGTTAAAATGATAACACACAGGACAGCAAGATTTGTGTATTCAAAACAACTTTGAGTTTTGAATGGACCACCTCTTCTCAAACCTTTGAAGCCCCACCCCAAAATACAGAGAGTTGTCAGATGAGCAGAAGTAACAGCAGACTTCTTGCTGCTGCTTGATGCCACTGTCACGTCCTCAAAATGCAGGGCTGCACTGAAATATGATTACCTTAGTCTCCCTCTATTGGATAATGGATAAAACTGTGCTATTTATCTCCATGTATTTTCTTGATTTTAGGACCACAGAGTTGGCAGAAGGACCTGACCTGTCTACAGTGATGTCATAGGGTAAACATTGTTTGATACAAGATATGCAAGATATTCATTTGTTCAAAATGAGGCAATTCATTCATTAACAGTTTATTTTATTTTCCTATTTAAATCTAAAATCTGAAGTATAAATCAGCAACACAATCAGATAGCCTTAATGAGTTTCTGTCACTTTTACATTCAACATTTATTTTTTATTTTTTATTATTTAGCGAAAATCTTTCATTGCTCATTTTCAGTGTAAGTAGAGTATGTTTTGTCTATACACGGTAATGATGAAATTCAAAATGAGGTGATGTCTAGGGGATGTCAGTTTTATTCAGTTTTAGGTTTTTGTACAGTGTGCACAGGTTTCCTGACACTGTTGGCTGCAGGGCACAGTAGTACACAGCAGAGTCAGACAGCAATGAGAGAAAAAGTTCCATCATACCAAAGCGTAATACAGCAAGCACCAGCCAGATGATCAGACAGAGTACCATGGTTATGCAGAACACACAGAGAGTGACTGTGAGTTACAGTAAGAGGTAGAGATCCTCTCTCTCTCTTCCATGTCCATCTCAGCCTGTATATCACCATCAACTGACATACATGAAGGAGGAGCCTGTTCAGAGAGGGGTAAGATTGAATGGAAACGTATGGGTCAATATTTCCTTGTCAATTTTATATTAGTACTTTTGCAGTACAGTAGACAAAGTGTAAAGCCAACATATCTAGCTCACTTGAAATGGAAAATAGCCTAGAAGAATTGACAATGACTTAAATGTTGTATGAAATGAGTATGATTAATTTATATGAAAGAAAATAGTTTAAAAACGGACACATATTCTATTATAATGCAGGTACAAACACTCATGTAGCCTACAGAGTATCTAATCCAGGTCTACTACTGTACATAAAATATATTGAAATACATAGTGTGCTTTGGTCTCAACTTTTCGGTGGTACTGTATGTTTCTATGGGCACATGAAAAAACGATAGTTTTTGTAAGGGGGCTGTATATCCTGTTGTCACAGTGGGCCTCAGAGCACAGTAGTACACAGCAGAGTCAGACATCTGCACCCTCTGGATCATCAAGGGGACTGATTTTGCTGTGACATTCAGACGGGCATGAAATCTCTCCTTGAATTCAGCAGCAGTTTCCCCGACTCCAACTGTATCCTTTCTCAGCATAAACATGGGCTTGCCATTTGCTTGTTGTTTGTACCAAAAGAGATATGGCAATCGATCAGTTGTATCATATAGACAAGTAAGTGTTGTCTGTTGTCCTTCTACGACCATTACATCTTCTGTTGGCTGTGCTACATTATCTTCTGCTCTGCACCCTGAAAAGAAAGATAAATATATCTTCACAACATATAATAATGTATATAAATAAAATGATCAAATACACAGAAAGAGACAGATGAACAGAGTGATGTTATACCAAAGCAGCATGCAGCCAGAACATGCAGGATCAGCCAGTTTCTCATGACTAGTCAGTCAGTTTGAAGTGTAAAAGGTAAGGAGCAGAACAATGCTGATCTATCTATCACAGAGCTTTGACACCCTCTGTCCTACTGTTGATGCTTCATGTTGTTCTGTATTACATGCAGTAGTAGACCATGGGGAGGTGTCTGTCTGTATGGCATCCTCTGATACAGGTGTGTGTGCTTTGTTAGGTTGCCCCCTTCAGGAGACTTTCATACTACACCACCAAGCAGTGTGAATTGTGAGTATGGCCAACTATAAGCAATAACATTGTTACACTGTCATATTCCCAAGTGCTTTTCCAACCACTATTAAAAAAAAACCTGTCTAAGTGGAATTGAATACTACTGATTGAAGAGTGAAGAATACATATTTCTCACAGTGCGTTGAATAGGAAGACAGACAAACACTATATTGCACACAGTACAGTTGTGACCGCAATTCTCTGATCTCAACCTCTGCCATTATGATATGAAATTGTGGTTTGACGTTCAAATTTGATCCCCGCTTCATCAAAGCATTTTTGGTGTGCATGTATTTGTACAGCATCTTATACACATTGTATCACTGGGTATAACAATACTGGTCATAACAATCTCTGAGAGCACAGTAGTAGAGAGCTGTGTCTGCCAGGGTTAGACTTGTTATGACCAGTTCAGTTGATGACTGAGATGTTTTGGATGTATGTCTCTTATCAGGGATATGTTCCCAATGAATTGATCTGGCACCTTTATTCAGTAGAAACTGAGGAGCCTGATTAGGATATTGCCTGTACCATTAAAGAATAGGATAATTGCTGGTTATATCATATGAGCAGCTCAGAGTCACAGGTTTTCCCTCTGTACTGATTTCTGATTTCTGTGTGATCCCCAGAAATCTGTCCTGTAAAGAGAATATAGAAACGAAATCAATTGCAAGTCAATCTTAATTTCCATCAACAATACGGGCTCAATTAAAAAATGTTGTAAGGCTCACCTGTACAAAATGTAGAGAACATCCAGGTTAAACCAAGTAACATCATCATTCATCTCCTGTATGATGGACCAACTAATTCACAGAAATATGTCTTCTGTAATCATATTTACGGTTTGAACAGGATCTTCGTAGCTCCTCCCTATACAACTTTATTGTCCATGTTACAGCGAACAACGGAAATGTCTCTTCTGCTCGCATTAGTCAACTCCCCCAGATATCACATCTCACACACACAATTGAGAGGAGCACAGGGTCGCGGCAGTGCAACACCGGTGTAGTCAGGATCTGAACCCAGCAGCCCTCCAATTACCAGATCCCAGGATCAGAACTGGCACCCATGCCCAGGTTATGACATAAAACCCATTTAAATGCTGGCTTTTAATTAAGTGTGGTGGTGGTGATGAAGGTTTCCTAAATGACCATAAAGATTGCATCAATTCAGATACATTTATATGAGAGAATGTTCAGTCAAGCTCAACCTCGACAAGACGGAACTGCTCTTCCTCCCGGGAAAGGCCTGCCCGCTCAAAGACCTCTCCATCACCGTTGACAACTCCACAGTGTCCCCCTCTCAGAGTGCAAAGAACCTTGGCGTGACCCTGGACAACACCCTGTTGTTCTCTGCAAATATTGTATTGACTCGCTCCTGCAAGTTCTTGCTTTACAACATCCGTATAGTACGACCCTACCTCACACAGGAAGCGGCAAAGGTCCTAATTCAGGCACTTGTCCTTTCCCATCTGGACTACTGCAACTCGCTCTTGGCTGGGCTCCCCGCTTGTGCCGTCTAACCACTGCAACTTATCTGTGTTTGTATTGTCTGTTTTTCTAGTGTTTCTGGGTTTCCTGTCATTGTGGGCCTCACTGTGGGCCTCACTGGGTTTCCTGTCACTGTTGGTTAATTAGCTGTTGAATCGACAGGAGAGTTTAACACTACCACCCTCCATAACATCCACTACATCTCTGTCTGGAGTAACTATGTCTTCAATACTTGTACCTGTAAAAAAGAACAGTTGATAATTTCTGTTTTGTTTACCTACAAGCTCCACCACAAAGTACAGTTGCTATAAAAATGCTCAATCTCTCCTCTCCTCTCCTCTTCGCCTCTCTCCTCTCCTCTCCTCTCCTCTCCTCTCCTCTCCTCTCCTCTCCTCTCCTCTCCTCTCCTCTCCTCTCCTCTCCTCTCCTCTCCTCTCCTCTCCTCTCCTCTCATTTGTGACTTGTTTCAGGAAACTAGGCGTATGTCGCGCGTCACTACTTCACAGGAGCTCCATTTGAACGTACTATGTTTGGGCAGAAATGCCTTCTGGAACATGTGAACTTTCATGTGCCTTAATAACAAACTTGTATGCCATCTGTAAATACGAATACAATTATTAAATTACGAGCTTAGTTGGTTTAGCCACGGAAAAAGACTGCAACCTTCCCACTAGCCATGATTGGCTGAGATAATGAGTGGGCTGGACATGCCAAGAGATGAGTTCGGATTGGTCTGCCATGTAGCACGCTTCTGTCCATAACATGAGCTGGTCAGTATGTGTAGGTAATCCTTTCTAACGTGGCTTTTTTGAAAGATATCATGTAGTAGAACTGCATAAGTGTTGCTCGCCACTTTCTAGAGGACCGAGTTTTGAAATCAGTGGAAATAGAGCATGATAGCTAAGGAGAGCGAAAATTGCAAATATGCAGACGGGGTCGAAAAGAGAACACACAGAAGGCTGTTGTATAAAACACGTCTCCGGATTACATCTTCAAACTAAATGCAACCATAGCATCCGTGACAGAGAGGGAGAAGCGTCCATCCATGTTTACGGGTAAGAGAGTCTACCTAGCTACATTTTCAGATATTATACGTTTCTAATTTTGTCAGAAAGTTATTTCCATTTCAAGTTAAAGTGTACTGTTAGCTAGCTAGCTAACGTTTGCTGGCTGGCTAGCTAACTAACGTTACGTGTATGATCTGTGCAGTAATATTATTTGTATCTCAGATTCATTTGTTCTCTCTTTATTCAGATTAACAGAGAGTCAAGGGTCTTCAGGTTTAGCTCTTATTACAGAGGGTTTTAAGGAGATTGTAGTGTACAGGAGGAATTGGGGTGCTGATCTGGGATATTACCGATACCATAGAATATTTTCTACTGAGCCAGAGTAGTTGCAAGACAGTGTAACACTGCTTCCCTCCATGCCATGTTCTGTCTCTGAAGTTGGTTTTATGTCATTTTCATAACTTCCTCCTGTAATAAAGTTACGTTTAGATTAACATTTTCAGTTCATGGGAAATTATTACATACTCTGTGTCATATTCGACACAAGTGAAAAGATAATCAGTCATTTACATTTCTTCTACGAAGTGCTATTTTCAAATGACACTTGACAGTTACATTGAATAAGCTAAAAGTATGTAATGTAAGACTAATACTCACCAACAAGTGCAGAGAGGAGAAACACTGGATAGAGAAACATGGTGATGGGTGTGACAGTGTGTTATCAGGAGGCAGAACTGAAGACATCCCACTGTTCCAGTCAGTTAGAGGAGAATCATCTCTCCACCTCTCATCTTAGCTACTCCTATTCAGGAAATGGACGCACATTACATCAGAATTATTGATGGATAATCATGAACATGATCTCTGATCATTTGTTTGCAGCTGCTTGCATATTACATGGTGTTTACTAGTAGGACTTTATTACAGGAAGGTATTTGTAGTGTTTCTGGGTTTCCTGTCACTGTGGGCCTCAAAGCACAATAGTACAGAGCAGAGTCTGCCACTTTAGCAGAGGAGATCTCCAGATCCACTCGTTCAGCCACTTTGTCAACGTTAACTGACAATCGAGGATACGGTGGATCTGCAGTAACTATTGTCTCAGCAGATGCTGATTACACTGAGATAAGGAGGAAGAATTGGGGAGCAGATGTGGGATATTGGTGATACCATAAGACACTGCCTCCACCAGATACTGTGTAGTTGCAGGAAAGCTTGACACTGCCACCATGTATCACATCCTTCTCAAGACTGTTGGAGTAAATTCCATCCCCACAACTATCACCTGCAGAAAACTGACATATGAAATATAAGTTATATTTGTCCTGTCAAAGCTTGTGTGTTGTTTTTCCAAGCTTTTAATTAAGTAATGACATATTATCATGACTGTTAAATGTATTTTACTTGCCCACAAATGTTACAAAGTACAGGTTGAACCAGCACAGCATGGTTAATGTTAGAGAGACAAGCTTACAATACACTGAGGAAAGTCTTTCATGCCATTTTGAGTCTCTCCTCTTCATTTTCATACTAGCTCCTCCTCTAAACACAACACAACTCATTTTTCAGAGGATCTTCTGAAGTGAATGAATAATAGGAAGAGAAATGTATTTTCAAATGCTTTGATTTCACCATCTTCAGACTGATGTTTGCATGCATTCACTCTCCTCTGAAAGTGTTCCTCTGTGTGTTACTGTGTGTCACACTAGCTGACAGACCAATGTCACATCTACTACAGAGGTTCAATTATCTACACTAGTGCAGATGTTGATAGGCTGCTGTACTAATCACTCTTGAAAGGGGAGAGGACATTTACAGGTGTAACCACAATCACTCTGGTAGCCTAAAAACATCTTGAGTGTATCTGATTTAAAATTATGGTCTGGAAACTGTTTCCATCAAGATGGGAGAATCAAATAATTATCCAGGTTTAGGTTTTTGTACAGCTTCTCAGAAAAATGTAAGCACCTTCCTATCTTTCCCAAAAGCACAGTAGTAGAGAGCTGTGTCTGCCAGGGTTAGATGTTTTGTGACCAGTTCAGATGTTATACGTTGTGGATTTATATGAACTATCAGAGGAATGTTAACTGGTACTTTATATGGCAACTTAACCATTAGAAACTGAGGAGCCTGGTTAGGGTACTGCTGGTACCAATAAAGCAGAATATTATCACTGCTTGTATCATATGAGCAACTCAGTGTCACAGATTCTCCTTCTGTACAGATGACTCTGGGCTTTACAGGAGTAATGTGATCCCCAGTAATCAGTTCTGGAAAGATAATGCAGTATTACTACTGTACATATAAATATAGCAATAAAATCCAAATGAAAATACTGTACATAACATTCTGTCTCACTGTAACATATCATGTAATGGTATAAGTATCATTTTCTATTCTAGTAATGCAACTAATGTTAACCTCTAAGGGATAGGTGTCCAGTAAACAGGACGGTTGAGCTAACGTGCTCTAATGTGATTAGCAAGACAGCAAACCTTCCAGGACATAGACATGTTTTATATGGGCAGCAAGCTTAAATTCTTGTTAATCTAACTGCACTGTCCAAATTACAGTAGCAATTACAGTGAAAAAATTGCATGCTATTGTTTGAGGAGAGTGCACAACAACAAAAAACGTATCACGGCAACTGGTTTTATACCTTCACCTCTGAAGGTAAATAATGTACTTACATTCAGTAATCTTGCTCTGATTTGTCATCCAAAGGGTCCCAGAGATAAAATATAGCATGGTTGTGTTTGATAAGATCAATTTTATAGTCAAATGTAGGAACTAAGTTCTACAGTTTGAACCCCTGCTGTCTCTGGCTCCACAAAATAATCCAGTATGGCAATGCTTCACTGGATCAATCTGAAACTTTGCACACACACTGCTAAATTGCGCTTAAACTGCAATCGTATATAGTGGCCTTTCTCGTGCATTTCAAAGATGATATTATCTTTTACCAGATCTAATGTGTTATATTCTCCTAAAATAATTTCACATTTCCACAAACTTCAGAGTGTTTCCTTTAAAATGGTATCAATATATCCTTCCTTCAGGTCCTGAAATACAGGCAGTTAGATTTGGGTATGTCATTTGAGGCGAACATTTTTAAAAAGGGTCCAATCCTTGAGGTTAAAAGTGAGGTGCTCAATATATCATAGACATTTACCTGAGGCCACAAGGAGAATTAGACATGTATGCATGGCAGTCTTACACTGGAGATCAAACCTCAGCTACTGATGGCTGTATTCTGATGCTATAGCAATATCAAAAACAAATGTTAGATTGTATGAAGCTTGTGTTCTCTTGATTCCTGTCTTTGTAGCAGCACAGGCCTAGACCATGCAGCACAGCACAGAGGGGATGTTCAAATTGTCATTTCAGAGTAGAAAGCAACACTCACATGGTAATGTGGCCACCTTGTGGTTGATGCTGGCTTTTACATTACTCTGTTCACAATACTGAGCATTGGTTTTGTCTCCTAATGATGAATTCTAAGATATATATATATATATATATATATATGTATGTTTTCTAATCCATGCGATATTAAAATATAATTTTAATGTCTCGTACATTTACATTTAGAGCTGAATTGGAGGAGGGAGCTTTATTGGCAACAACAAAAACTTTCTGTATAATCATCATCATCATCATCATCATAATCACTGTGATTATCAACATCTGCTACCACTAGTCTTGGTAGTATCAGGGAGGTAGTGAGAAGGTTACTGTGTCAATTTCAAAGTGGTGTTGTATACTGTCCAGACAGGTGTATTGTCATTGTGTAGCTCAGTATGTTTTTGTAAGGGGGCTGTATATCCTGTTGTCACAGTGGGCCTCAGAGCACAGTAGTACACAGCAGAGTCAGACAGCTGCACCCTCTGGATCGTCAAGGGGACTGATTTGGTAATGGAACTGAGATGGGCATCAAATCTCTCCTTGAATTTATCAGCAATATCCCCTGGTCCAATGACATCCTTCCGCAAAACATATTCAGGGTAATCGTTTGTGGATTGAATGTACCAGAAAAGGGATGGAGCTGATAAACTGGTGTTATATTCACAGCTGAGAGACATGTATTCTCCTTCATAAGCAGTCACTTCTCTCTTTGACTGAGTAACACTGTCTGCTCCTCTGCACTCTGGAAACAAAGAAGAATACCTCTGTTTAAAATGTCAGGATTCCAGTAACATCAGAGTATTGAGAAAAAGATCATGAGAGCCGTATCCTACCAAAGAGAAGTGCAGCAAGAACAACAGAGGTCCACAGCCAATGTCCCATACTTATCATAGGATACAAAGACCAAGACAAACTGATGTTACAATATTGAAACTGGTGTGCTCTCTTGATTCCTGTCTTTGTGGCAACACAGGCCTAGACCATGCAGCACAGCACAGAGGGGATGTTCAAATAGACAAGTCATTCCAGAGTAGAAAGCAACAATCACTTGGTAATGTGGCCCCCTTGTGGTTGATGCTGACTTTCCATAACTCTGTACACAATACTGAAATATAACTTTTTTCTCCTGACTTAATCTAGTTAGACACTACTAGCTGTATATGTTCGAATCCATGAGATATTTTAATGGCATTGTATTGTTTCTTACATCTACAATTAGAGCTGAATTGGAAGAGGGAGCTTTATTGGCATCAACAATGACTTACTGTATAATCATCATCATCATCATCACTATGATTATCATCATCTGCTACCACTAGTCTTGGTATCAGGGAGGTAGTGAGAAGGTTACTGTGTCAATTTCAAAGTGGTGTTGTATACTGTACAGACAGGTGTATTGTCATTGTGTAGCTCAGTATGTTTTTGTAAGGGGGCTGTATATCCTGTTGTCACAGTGGGCCTCAGAGCACAGTAGTACACAGCAGAGTCAGACAGCTGCACCCTCTGGATCGTCAAGGGGACTGATTTGGAGTCTGTATCGAGATGGGCATCAAATCTCTCCTTGAACTCAGTGGCATTTGTACTTCCAAAAGAAAAACGTCCCAGCATGAACTTTGGGAAGCTATTTACTTCATGCTTGTACCAGAACAGGTAGAGATCATTAGTATTAACTGCATCAAATTGACAGCCTAGTGTGACCTGTTCTCCCTCAGTAGCGATCACATCTCCTGGTGGCTGAATGACTGAGTCTTCTCCTCTGCATTCTGGAAAATAATGAGAAAAGCAACATGATATACATTTTAATTCATTCATTTAGCAGACTTATCCAGAGTGATTTACAGTAGTGAGTGCATACATTTGTATACTATTTCATATTGGTCCCCTGTGGGAATCTAACCCACAAACCTGGTGTTGCAATCACCGTCCTCTATAACTGAGCCACACGGGACCACACATGATAGAGGATAGATAGACATATTAAATGAATACTGGTAGTGTTATACTGAAAAATATGTTAGAAAAAAGAAAGGGATGGGAGCAAAGGCAGTAAATTAATTAGGAAAATAATATTATCATACCATAACAACATGCAGCAAGAATCAGTAAATTCCTCAACCAGGGTTCCATGCCTACAGTGAGATGGGTTGGAGAAGAGTAAAACACACTGATGTATGCTACATGTGACATAAGACTATGAAATCATTGTCTCCTCCTCTTTCAGTGTATCATCAAACATTGAGAAGTTTGTGTCATTGTCTGAACAACACTCTACCCTGTGTTGTTGTACAATGACTGAATATCCTGTTGTCACAGTGGGCTTCAGAGCACAGTAGTACACAGCAGAGTCAGACAGCTGCAACCTCTGGATCGTCAAGGAGATAGAGCTAAATGTGAAATGTATAATGTACACTATTACACATGGGTTGTTGTCTCTCGAATTGGTCCATAAAATAAACCTTTCACTCCTGCCTGGAGATAATCAAGTAGAAAACTGACTGCCTCATAATCCTCCTTCTCCTAACATGTTTAATTATTTGTGCGAACTGAAGCAAGGGTTAGGGTTAATTCTAGGGTCATGGTCAATTCAGTAGATGGACAAGAAGCTAGTGTTAGAATTGGGCTAGAGCCGACCTTAACCTTGACCAGCCCTTGGCACTGTTTTTGTACTATTATAGTTATTAAATGCACTCTTACAGCTAATTACATTTCAAGTGTTGATTTCATTGAAGTGTGTTGTATGTGTCTGATGTACTGCTTCAGCCTTTAAAGTAAATGCCTCAAGGGAATATATTAAATTGTTTTGTAAGCCTTATATTATATATTGTTGTACATAATTTAGTAATGAATATAGTTGACCCTGTCTGCATGCACTTTGGAAAACCACAGTCTGTTCATATAAAATAAATGCAAATTGTTAATACAAGAAGCACAAACAGAATATGCAATTGTGACAAGAAAGGGTTAAAACCTAATGAATGTATATTCTGTTTGGTGGGGGAAATTCTACAACACAGACACCTGTAAATTGTTTGCATGGCGCATGCGTAATTTTAAGGAATAGGAGCAAATTGATGAGAGTCCACTGACACCTATTGACTCTCACTAGTAACTTACCCTTGAAAATACAAGCAATGTCAAGGTTTCACCTTGTTGGGCAGAATGTTGAACACTAGATGGAACTATTGTATCATTATTATACATAGAAAAACCTTGTCACTGGACTTCATAACTGTGGAAGGCAGTCTATAGGAGGAGCACAGACTAAGAAGATCTGTCATATAACTGATCAGGAGTCAGAGAGAACATCTCAGTACTTGACGTTGGAGAGGGTGGAACAGTGGATAAGCCACCTGGCTCACTTGGGCCTGATCAACCCGTCCTTCAGAAGGTGTAGTGGGCAGCACATGTAGGATAAGAAGGTACCTCACCTGAAGATCAGCCAGGAGCTGCAGAAACGTCTGTTTGTGGGTAAATATAAAGAAAACCCTTTATACTCTACCTACACATTGCTGACCACATTTAAATGTTGAGGAGGTTCTGAGAATAAAGCCACTAAATCCTCACATGAATAATGAACTATTATTCTGTCATGAACCATGGGATGGATGTAACTCTCACCCCCGCCGAGCTACAACAGGTTCTGGGATGGAGAGAGCAGGAGTCCAAGAAGACGGAGAGTCGACGGGACGGGAAGAGCAACATGAGGAAGAGAGCTGAAAGACGTCGCAGCCAGCAGAGGAAGGAGGAGTTAAGAGTTACATCCATACCATGGTTCACGACAATACATGTGCAGACTTTAATTCCTTTTCATATCTAGTGACCCAGACCAAAACAGTGTAAGAGCCTTTTTATGTTTGCCTGGCCCATAACAGATAGTTAGGTAGCTTAAGCTATGTTTGTGCTCCTCTAAAGAGCGCAGTACATGGATTTACCACCAGAGGACCAGACCACTGAGCAGGTCCATGTTGAGAGCAATAATTAAGTGATAATTTCCGAGAGTGTTCGTCTCGCGCCAAGCTATCCTCCAAACAACAACTTCCAGGGCATTGTCACTTTTATACAATGGGTTACCAACATATTCAAATAATGATTGACATATTTTCACTACAAATGTTATTTTGATGAATTCATTCATACTATTTCTTCCTTCCACGACATATAGACCCTTGAATGAGTAGGTGTGTCAAAACTTTTGACTGGTACTGTATGTCGTACAGGATGTACAGTGTGTCAGAGTTTCCTGTCACTGTGGTCTTCATGGCACGGTAGTAAAGATCAGAGTCTGTCACTTCAGCAGAACAAATCTTCAGATCCACACATTTGTCCATTTTGTCAATGGAAACTGTCAGACGAGGATGTGGGGGAGTAGTTTTAAATATAGTCCCCTCTGGTGTAATGTACAAGATGAATTTTGGTTTGGATCTGGGATATTGGCGGTACCACTGTAGATTGTAGACAATGGCATCATATTTGCAGGAGAGATGGACATTCCTTCCCTCTTGAACAAGCTCTTCTGTAGTCGCACGGTTTATTGAATCACCAAAACGGTTTCCTGCAAAAATATGTGGTCAAATAACTTCTGTAACTGTAAAACTGTGCAGTTGTAACTGATATTTACAAATTATTAATGTGCAATTACCATGTTTCTGTGCTGTTCGTTTACTGTAAGATTAAACTAAACGATTTCAATCCATACAATAACTCACCTAAAAAAGCTGAAAAGAGAACAAATGAGAAGAGCAACATCTTGCTAGACCTTTGAGAAACAGACAGACACACAGACAGACAGATAGACAGCACTGGGAGACCTGACTGACTAGCTACTTCCTGAACAATAATATCCCATAAGCTACATGTGGATCTTTGATTATCCAGCTCTTCCTCTTGACACCAACGTGAAATGTTTTCTGTTATGGCTTTCTTCCTACAGTATACTGTATTTTGTCAGGTTTTTGTACAGTATTTCTGGGTTTCCTGTCATTGTGGGCTTCAGAGCACAGTAATACAGAGCAGAGTCTGTCACTTCAGCAGAGGAGATCTCTAGATCTGCCTGAGTTTTCCAATAATTCAGTTTTACAGTGAGGCGAGGGTGCAGAAAGTAAAATAATTGTGTGGATAAATGCCATACTGTATCTGAGGTTAGAGGCAAGGGTGAAGTCCAACACAGTTTTTTAAAGGAAAATGTATTCTCTTGAGTAAGCCCCACCCCTGCCATAAAATATGAATAACAGGAGTTTATCATGAGCTGTCAGGTTTTTTTTCAGTGGTTCTGGGTTTCCTGTCACTGTGGGCTGCAGGGCGCAGTAGTACAGAGCAGAGTCTGTCACTTCAGAAGAGGAGATCTCCAGATCCACACGTTTGGCTTTTTTGTCATGATTTAGAGTGAACCCTGGAGTTGTTGCAGGCATATGTTCCATAACCAGCAACTGTGGTGCTGATTTTGGATATTGTCGATACCATAGAAGAGTGTTAGCAGAAGAGGTGTAGTTACAAGAGAGAGTAACTCTGTCCCTTTCTGAAGCCACTTCTACATCAGTGTAGGGTGTTAATACCTGTTCAGAACTGAGACCTGTAAAACATAATATTATATATTATATATAATACTTTATACCCACATGGGAGATTGAATTAATTTCAAATGCAGTTTAAAAATAAAATGGACAAAAAAACAAAACAAAATGCATCCTCATGTTGTGCATCACCTTTATAATCGTTCATTTGAAAAATAAATACACATAAAAATAATCATATTCAGTTTCAATAAACATATTATTACTTACCTATCAAGTCAAATAAGAGTAAAAGTGAACAGAACAACATTGTAGATGGCGGGATGTGTAGAATAAGCACCAGCTGCTGATGAAAAGCACAGCATCAACTGGCTATGATCTTCATGGTAGTATCATGTCTTATCTTGAGCATTCATAATCTGATCCTGAGTTTTATACTCTAGCTCCTCCTACTGACTATGTTGAAACACATATATTTTATACGTACATTTAATAGCAGTTTACAAATTATTTATGCACTGAATTATCCACTTGATGGCGATGTGGTCAAACAAAATACATCAGATGCATGTAAATCTCTAACTAACTGACAGGAGACAGGTCTGTATTCTACTGAGTGCTGAGTCAGTGAGTTATGTGTCACTGTGGACATCACAACACAGCAGTACAGAGCAGAGTCTCTCAATTCAGCAGAGGAGATCTCCAGATCCACACGGGTCTTCTCTTTGTGGGGCGGCAGGTAGCTTAGTGGTTAAGAGCGTTGTGGCAGTAATCGAAAGGTCACTGGTTCTAATTCCCAAGCCGACTAGGTGAAAAATATGTTGATGTGCCCTTGAGCAAGGCACTTAACCCTAATTGCTCCTGTAAGTCGCTCTGGATAAGAGCGTCTGCTAAATGACGTAAATGTAAAGGTGAGAGTATGGAGGTTTAGCTCTCACTACAGTCCTAGAGGCATGGTGGATGAAGAGGAGGAGTTGGGGAGCTGATCCTGGATACTGTTTATACCACAGTACACTGTATGATGAGGAGTAGTTGCAGGAAAACTGAACATTACTACCCTCCTCTCCATACACTTCATGTTGGTTTGGCTGGATGGTCTGCTGAAAACTGCCCCCTGCAAATGTGAAGAGATGGTAGATAAATGAAAAGATAGATGTATTTGATATTCCTATTTGCTCTAAAATCCAATAGCACGGATAAAATATCAATTAGCCAAAAAAATGTAGGTAAAAGAATGACAGGAATACAGTAATTTATTAACATGTCAGTGTAGTAAGTAAAATAACTCAGTAGAGAACAATTATATTGTAGCTTAGGTTATATGCTGGGGTGAAGTCCAAAACAGCTTTTTAAAGGATAATTAATTTTCTTGAACCTACAGTAGGAAGCCCCACCTCTGCCCTAAAAGATTAATAACAGGAGTGTATCATGAGCTTTGAGGTATTTATACAGTGTTTCTGGGTTTCCTGTCACTGTGACCTGCAGGGTGCAGTAGTACAGAGAAGAGTGTGTCACTTCAGAAGAGGAGATCTCCAGATCCACACGGGTTCTCTCCTTATTCAGTTTAATAGACAGTCGTGGGTATGGAGGAATAGCGCTCAGTACAGAGGGATTTGAGGACACTCCAGTGAGGAGGAGGAAGATGGGAGATGATCCAGGGTACTGTCGATACCACTGGAGATTACTAGCAGAGGAGTAGTTACAGGACAGCTTCATGACATCATCCTTCAACCCAAACACCTTATCTGTTGTTGGAGTAATGTCATTCCCATGACTGCCACCTGGAAAACATTTATGAAAACAGGAATTATTATCAGGAAATTATTATAAAATTAAACTAATTATTCAGTCAAGAGTTTTAAAAATGTAATTTCTTCACAGTAATATTACTCCAGGCTCCAGTAATTACATTGGATATGTGATTGGATAATAAGAATAGCATCAAACTCACCCACTAGTGCAAATATTCAAATTGATCCTAGTAACATGCTGGTAAGTGTTATTTAACACAGTGAAAATAGTGAACACAAATATAGTTATGACAGAATGACTCCACTGGTTTCTCACTGTCAGTTTTAAAAGGCATTTCCTTTCTTCTGCCTCAATTATGTAACACCTCCCCTTGACTTAAAAAACGGCACACAACACAACGTACTGTACACATGCACCCACGTGCACACACAGTGTTTTTGTAAGGGGGCGGTACATCCTGTTGTCACAGTGGGCCTCAGAGCACAGCAGAATCAGACAGTTGCAGCCTCTGGATCGTCAAGGGGACTGATTGTGTTTTGGCATTTAGACTGACATCAAATCTCATCTTGAACCCTGCAGCATTGTCTCCAGATCCAAAAGGATAATGGGTTAGCATATGTTTAGGGAAGTCATTTGCTTGTTCATTCAAGGGTTTTTCTTTATTTTGACTCTTATGAAGACTTAAAAACTAGGAAATAACACATATGGAATCATGTAGTAACCAAAAAAGTGTTAAACAAATCAAAATATTTGAGATTCTTCTAATAGCCACCCCTTGCCTTGATGACAGCTTTGCAGAGTCTTGGCATTCTCTCAACCAGCTTCATGAGGTAGTCACCTGGAACATTTAAGAATTAACAGGTGTGCATTCTTAAAAGTTAATTTGTGGAATTTATTTCCTTCTTAATGCGTTTGAGCCAATTAGTTGTGTTGTGACAAAGTAGGGGTGGTATACAGAAGATAGCCCTATTTGGTAAAAGACCAAGTCCATATGATGGCAAGAACAGCTCAAAAAAGCAAAGAGAAATGACAGTCCATCATTACTTTAAGACATGCAGGTCAATCAATACAGAACTTTAAAGAACTTTGAAAGTTTCTTCAAGTGCAGTCGCAAAAACCATTAAGCGCTATGATGAATCTGGCTCTCATGAGGACTGCCACAGGAAAGGAAGACCCAGAGTTACCTCTGCTGCAGAGGATAAGTTCATTAGAGTTACCAGCCTCAGAAATTGCAGCCCAAATAAATGCTTCACAGAGTTTAAGTAACAGACACGTCTCAACATCAACTGTTCAGAGGAGACTGTGTGAATCAGGCCTTCATGGTAAAATTGCTGCAAAGAAACCACTACTAAAGGACACCAATAATAAGAAGAGACTTGCTTGGGCCGAGAAACACAAGCAATGGACATTAGACCGGTGGAAATCTGTCCTTTGATCTGATGAGTCCAAATGTGAGATTTTTGGTTCCAACCACTGTGTCTTTGTGAGACGCAGAGTAGGTGAACGGATGATCTCCGCATGTGTGGTCCCCACCGTAAAGCATGGAGGAGGAGGTGTTATGGTGTGTGGGTGCTTTGCTGGTGACACTGTCTGTGATTTATTTAGAATTCAAGGCACACTTAACCAGCATGGCTACCACAGCATTCTGCAGCAATACGCCATCCTATCTGGTTTGGGCTTAGTGGGACTATCATTTGTTTTTCAACAGGACATCTCCAGGCTGTGGAAGGGCTATTTTACCAAGAAGGAGAGTGATGGAGTGCTGCATCAGATGACCTGGCCTCCTCAATCCCCCGACCTCAACCAAATTGAGATGGTTTGGGATGAGTCGGACCGCAGAGTGAAGGAAAAGCAGCCAACAAGTGCTCAGCATATGTGGGAACTCCTTCAAGACTGTTGGAAAAGCATTCCAGGTGAAGCTGGTTGAGAGAATGCCAAGAGTATGCAAAGCTGTCATCAAGGCAAAGGGTGGCTATTTGAAGAATCTCAAATATAAAAAATATTTTGATTTGTTTAACACTTTTTTGGTTACAACATTATTGTCAATATATAATAATAAAATAAAGAAAAACCCTTGAATTAGTAGGTGTTCTAAAACTTTTGACCGGTAGTGTAGATATGCATAATTAGCACTGGTGGTGTTATATTGACAACTCAGTGTTACCAGTCCTCCTTCTGTAGCAATCACACCTCCTGGTTGCTGTTGGACATGGTCTCCTATGCACTCTGGGGGGAATAAAGAGTTAGGGAAAATTAGAAAGATTATAAAAATGAGAAAAATGTAGCAACAATTAGTTAAAGATGAGATTAACCAATGAGAGAAAAGGTTCCATCATACCGAAGCACAATACAGCAAGAACCAGCCAGATGATCAGACAGAGTACCATGGTTATGCAGAACACACAGAGAGTGACTGTGAGTTACAGTAAGAGGTAGAGATCCTCTCTCTCTCTTCCATGTCCATCTCAGCCTGTATATCACCATCAACTGACATCTGACAAACATGAAAGAGGAGACTGTTCAGAGAGAGGTAAAATTGAATGAAAATGTATTTGTCAATATTACGTTGTCAGTATTAGATATAAGCACGCTTTGCAGTAAATTAGCCAAAGAGAAAAGCTTACGTCTAGCTCACATAAAATGAAAAGTAGCCTAAAGCAATTTTCAATTACATAAATTTTCCATGAAGTGGGTATGATAAACATATATTTTTGGGGTGGTGAAAACGTACACATATTCTTTTATAATTCATTCACAAACACTAATTTAGTCTACATAGTATCTAATTCATGTATACTACTGTACATAAAGTATATTGAAAAACATTTTGTGCTTTGGTCCCAACTTTTCATTAGTACTTGCAAAAATGCCTTGCAAAAGTATTCATCCTCTTTGGCCTTTTTCCTATTTTGTTGCATTACAACCTGTAATTTAAATTGATTTTTATTTGGATTTCATGTAATGGACATACACAAAATAGTCCAAATTGGTGAAGTGAAATGAAAAAAATAACTTGTTTCAAAAGTCTGCAACACCACTAAGCAAGGGGCACCACCAAGCAAGCGGCACAGAGTACAGATCAAGATTGGGTTATAAAAAAAATTGCAGAATCTTTGAACATCCCACAGAGCACCCTTAAATCCATTATTAAAAAAATGGAAAGAATATGGCACCACAACAAACCTGCCAAGAGAGGGCCGCCCACCAAAACTCACAGACCAGGCAAGGAGGGCATTAATCAGAGGAAACAAAGGGACCAAAGATAACCCTGAAGGAGCTGCAAAGCTCCACAGCGGAGATTGGATTATCTGTCCATAGGACCACTTTAAGCCATACACTCCACAGAGCTGGGCTTTACGGAAGAGTGGCCAGAAAAAAAGCCATTGATTAAAAAAGAAAAAAAAGAAAACACGTTTGGTGTTCACCAAAAGGCATGTGGGAGACTCCCCAAACATATGGAAGAAGGTACTCTGGTCAGATGAGACAAAAATTGAGATTTTTGGCCATCAAGGAAAATGCCATGTCTGGCGCAAACCCAACACCTCTCATCACCCCAAGAACACCATCCCCACAGTAAAGCATGGTGGTGGCAGCATCATGCTGTGGGGATGTTGTTCATCGGCAGGGACTGGGAAACTGGTCAGAATTGAAGAAATGATGGCGCTAAATACAGGGATATTCTAGAGGGAAACCTGTTTGAGTCTTCCAGATATTTGAGACTGGGACGGAGGTTCACCTTCCAGCAGGACAATGACCCTAAGCATACTGCTAAAGCAACACTTGAGTGGTTTAAGGGGAAACATTTAAATGTCTTGGAATGGCCTAGTCAAAGCCCAGACCTCAATCCAATTGAGAATCTGTGGTATGACTTAAAGATTGCTGTTGTCACAGTGGGCCTCAGAGCACAGTAGTACACAGCAGAGTCAGACAGCTGCAACCTCTGGATCGTCAAGGGGACTGATTTTGCTGTGACATTCAGACGGGCATCAAATCTCTCCTTGAACTCAGTAGTAGTGTCTCCAGGTGAAAATGTATCCCTTCTCAACATAAACATGCGGTTTCTATTTGATTGTTGTTTGTGCCAGAAGAGATATGATGATTGATCAGTTGTAAAGAATAGTCAAGTGAGTTTTGTTGGTTGTCCTTCTACGACCATCCTCTGATTCAGGGGTGTTTGTTATTTGTTAGGTTGCCACTTCAGGTTAACTTACATACTACACCACCAAGCTGTGTGAATTGTGAGAAGGAGTAACTACAAACAATAATATTTTGCACTTCGTCATATTCCCAAGTGCTTTTTCAACCTATATTAAAATACCTATCTAAGTGAAATTGAATACATCTTTCTCACAGTTCATTGAATATGAAGACAGAGAAACACTAGACCACCTGGTGATTGCACACAGCAAAGGTGTGACCACAATTCTCTGATCTCAACCTCTGCCATTATGACATAAAATGTGGTTGATGTTTAATTATGATTTCCACTTCATCAAAGCATTTCTGGTCTGCAGGTTTTGTACAGCGTCTTATGGACTTTGTATCACTGTGCCAGAAGCACAGTAGTAGAGAGCTGTGTCTGCCAGGGTTAGTCTTTTTATAACCAGTTCAGTTGATGTCTGAGACGTTTTGGATGTATATCTCTTATCAGGGATATGGTCAACACCGTTAGATGATCTGGCACCTTTGTACAGTAGAAACTGAGGAGCCTGTTTAGAATAATGCCGGTACAAGTAAAGTAAAATATCGTCTCTTTCTGTTTCATATGAACAGCTCAGTGTCACTGATGATCTCTCAGTGGGGGTATAATCCTCCTTGTCAGGAGTCAAACTAGCTCCAGATACCATTCCTGCAGAGGAAAAATAGATAATAAAGCTGATTCAAAACACATGATTATTTTTCACATTTAAATGACTTCACTTCATCAAAATATGTTTTACTAGCAATACCATAATTGAAAAATCTGATTATAAGGATGCAAGGTGTTCAAATGTTTAGGTATTGTTTACCTGTAGTCATAATCAGAATAATTAATACACTGATTGATTTCTCCATCTTCAGACTGATGTTTGGATGCATCATTCTCCTCTGGAATGTTCTTCTGTGTGTCACTGTTTGAGGTCTACAGCCCTGGTTACGTCACACCCACCACAGAAGTAAGGCTTGTATTTTTTCTACACTAGTGCTAAGGATACACTAGTTTTTGTGGGGGGTCTGTATATCCTGTTGTCACAGTGGGCCTCAGAACACAGTAGTACACAGCAGAGTCAGACAGCTGCAACCTCTGGATCGTCAAGGGGACAGAGCTAGATGTGTACTTCAGCATGGAATCAAACCTCTTCTTGAACTCATCACTATTGCTCCATTCTGAATAACAATCTCTTCTCAGGACATACTGAGGAGAGTCCCTAGTTAACTGGATGTACCAGAAGAGATCAGGAAATGTATTACTGCTAGTAGTTACGTTACAACTGAGTGTTACCAGTTCTCCTTCAAGGGCAGTAACATGTCCACTCTGCTGGTCAACAGCCTCTTCACCTCTGCAATCTGAAAAAATATATTTGGGTTTTTATAATACATAATAGGCTAAGGTTCAGAGAATGAGAATGTAGAAAAGAGAAGCACTATACTGTACCAAAATAGCATGCAGCCAGGATAAATACAGTATTCCTAAGACAATGTTCCATTATGATTCATGTATAGAGGAAGAATAGACTGTTATAGACTTTATGTTCCATCCACTGTAGCTGAGAAGTCTCATAATTGTGGAACTCTGCAGTAGGGGAGGAGCTTATGGTATATTCAATTGTTTAGTTGAACTGCCAAAGGGATTCCTTTTTAAATGTGATATATTTGGTACCATGAAATGTCTCCTTTAAAGAATGTCATCTTCTTCTCCAAGTCCTTTGAACATTCTAATTTGGCAGTTGTTATGGGCCTTGGAGAAATATATTTCATGTCCAGGCCAAATTGAACTAATCTGACAAATACAATTCAATCATATATCCAGTGAGGGTTTGCAAAAAAATCAGAAAGAAAGGCTCAGACCACAGTAGCCTATGAACCAGTCCAATATAGACCTGGGCTATGCTGACCAATGTCACAAAGAGTTATCTTTACTATGCATTTAAAACAGTAGTCAAGTCAATTGATGATTGGTTGTATGATTGATACCAATGATTTACATGGGATGCGACCATGATCATAATCCCTGTCATCACAGTGTACATTAACGTAAATGATGGTCAATGGCATCACCATGTATTACGCATGGGTTGTTGTCTCTCGATTTGGTCAATAAAATCAACCTCTCACTCCTGCCTGGAGTTAATCAAGTAGAAAACTGCCTGCCTCATAATCCTGCTTATCCTAATATGTTTTGTTATTTGTGCCAACTGAAGCTAGGGTTAGGGTTAATTCTAGGGTCATGGTCAATTCAGTAGGTGGACAAGAAGCTAGGGTTAGATTTGGGCTAGAGCCGACCTTAACCTTGACCAACCCTTGGCATTGTTTTTATTTTATTATAGTTATTAAATGCACTCTTACAATCAATTACATTTCAAGTGTTGATTTTATTGAAGTGTGTTGTTGTATGTGTCTGATGTACTGCTTCAACCTTAAATTCCTCAAGGGAATATATTAAATTGTTTTGTAAGCCTTATATTATATATTGTTGTACATAATTTAGTAACTAATACAGTTGACCCTGTCTGCATGCACTTTGGAAAACCACAGTCTGTTCATATAAAATAAATGCAAATTGTTAACACAAGAAGCACAAACAAAATTATTAAATTGTGACAAAGGGTATATTTGTATGGTGGGGGAAATTATACAACACCTACACCTGTAAAGTGTTGGCATGTTGCATGCATAATTTAAAGGAATAGGAGCAAATTGATAAGACTTCACTGAAACCTATTGACTCTCAATAGAAACTTTTTTCCACCTCAAGCAGTACCTGTGACAGAATGTGCGTGTGGGCGTTGACAGAAAACGAGGTTAAGCATTCTTTGCAATACATCAAGTAGAGCATGCATTCAAAAGTGGTCAAGGAAGTATCTGCATGAGAAAATAGATCACTCCCTCAATTATACAAATGCATGCTTGCTTTGATGTATTTTATTGTCAATATATCATAAGTCATGTTGTTAACATGGAGATAGATGAAGAGACCGCAGACAAACGTAGACAAAGACATAAAAAGATGAACATATGATAAGACTTTTCAAAACAGTAAGTTAGATGTTGCATACATCTCCTGTACATACATTATATTATATATATGTCCTGCACAATATTCTTGCTTGATATCAGGGTACAGTAATACTGGAAGCAGAATGGAAATCACAAAGGGTTATGGTTCCGATTAGTGTTGATCCGGGGTGTGGACACGAAGCTAGGGTTAGCGTTAGGATTAGGGTTAGGGTGAGGGTTAGGTTTAATTTTGATACGGGGTATGGGCATGAAGCTAGGGTAAGGGTTAAGGATAGGATTAGGGTTAGGTTCAGGGTTAGGTTTAATGTTGATCCAGGGTGTAGACATTGAAGCTAGGGTTAGGGTTATGGCTGAGCCGGGGTGTGAGCATGAAGCTAGGGTTATGGCTAGGGTTAGGGTTAAGCCGGGGTGTGGACATGAAGCTAGGGTTAGCCCAGGCCTATATTATATATTGTTGTACATAATTTAGTAATAAATACAGTTGACTCTGTCTGCATGCACTTTGGAAAACCACAGTCTGATCATATAAAATAAATGCAAATTGTTAATACAAGAAGCACAAACAGAATATGCAATTGTAACAAGAAAGGGTTAAAACCTAATGAATGTATATTCTGTTTGGTGGGGGAAATTATACAACACAGATACCTGTAAAGTGTTGACATGCTGAATACATCATTTAAAGGGATAGGAGCAAATACATAGAAAAACACTAATACATAGAAAAACCATGTCAATGGACATCATAACTGTAGAGGGCAGTCTACAGGAGGAGCACAGACTAAGAAGATCTGTCATATAACTGATCAGGAGGCAGAGAGAACATCTTAGGGGTTGTGGCTGAACAGTGAGAAACAGTGGACGAGCCACGTGGCTCACTTGGGCCTGATGAATACGTCCTTCAGAAGGTATATTGGGCAGCACATGTAGGATAAGAAGGTATCTCACCTGAAGATCAGCCAGGAGCTGCAGAAACGGCTGTTTGTAGGTAAATATAAAGAAAACCCTTTATACTCTACTTACACTTTGCTGACCGCATTTAAATGTTGAGGAGGTTCTGAGAATAAAGCCACTAAATCCTCACAAGAATAATGAACTTTAATTACTTTTCATATGTAGTGACCCAGAACAAAACAGTGGAAGAGCCTTTTTATGTTTGCCTGGCCCATTACCAGAATAGTTGCCTTCAGCTATGTTCCTCTAAAGAGTGCAGTACATGGATTTACCACCAGAGGACCAAACCACTGAGCACGTCCATGTTGAGAGCAGTGATGTCATATAATGTAGGCATACTGTAAGTATAAGATATGTTAAAAGACCTGACTGTAGCATAATAGGAATATACATCAAATTGACAGAATCTGTCAATGCTCCAATCAAATTAAGGACAGGTGAAACATTCCAGTCATAAGCTTTATTTACAGGAGACATTAACATCATCATTCATTGGTGTTTTGATGTATAAAAAATAAGGGTTAGATACAAGTTCATAAAGAAACTGGATAAATCCCTGCTGATGTGGTCCCTGCTGAGGTTTTTGTACAGTGTGTAGGTTTCCTGTCATTGTGGTATCCAGGGCACAGTAGTACAGAGCAGTCTGTCACTTCAGTAGAGGAGATCTTCAGATCCACACGATTGTAACTGTCAGATGAGGATGTGGGGGAGTAGCTGTGACAATAGACCCCTCTGGTGTGATGTACATGAGGAATTCTGATTTTGATCTGGGATATTGGCAGTGCCACTGTAGATTGTAGACAGTGCCATCATGTTTGCAGGAGAGATGGACATTCCTTCCCTCCTGAACAAGCGCTTTAGTAGTAGCAGGGTTTTAATCACCAAAACTGTTTCCTGCAAAAAAGGTTACAGTAAAAATTGTAGTTGAACATTTAACCAATGTTCCATAACTGTTATACATATGAAATTAACATCTACAATATTATTGTACTAAGATACGTTTTATGGATTCAAATATGTTCTAAATTCACTGTAAGATTAAATTCACAGATGAGAGCAAGGATTCAACCATATAATAATTCACCTACAAAATCTGAAAAGAGAACAAATGAGAAGAGCAACATCTTGTTAGACCTTTGAGAGACAGACAGACAAATAGACAGACAGACAGACAGACAGACAGCACTTGACTGAGACCTGACTGACTGCCTTCTTCCTGAACAATACCATCCCATAAGCTACATCTGGATCTTTGATTATACAGCCCCTCCTATTGACACCACTGTGAAATGTTTTCTGTTGTGTCTTTCTTTCTACCGTATATGTTGTCAGGTTTTTGTAGTGTTTCTGGTTTTCCTGTCTCTGTGGGCTTCAGAGCACAGTAGTACAGAGCAGAGTCTGTCACTTCAGCAGAGGAGATCTCCAGATCCACATGGGTCTTCTCATCATTCAGTTTAACAGACAGTCGAGGGTGGGTCAATTCATTATGTTTCTTATAACCACCTTCAGTGATGAGGATCAGGAATTCTGGTGTTGATCTGGGGTATTGTTGATACCACAGTAAAGTATCACTACCGTAAGAGCCAGTGTAGTTGCAGGACAGAGTAACACCATCACCCTCAAAAACATGCTCTTCAGTTGTGGCTGATATTATTTCCTCCTCATAACTGCTACCTGAAATAAATAATGTTAAACATATTTTGAATAAATCATATTGCAATTCATGTACCGTAAATGCTATATAGACCAGTATGTCTGCATTGCAAAATTGCATTGCAAAACCTATGCACTTACCAATGAACATTGAAAAAAGTAGAATTGCATAAAACATCTTTATGGGGACTGAATGACTGGCTTTATGCTGTGTAACGGAAGAGTATATCACTGTCCTCTCCTCAAACATCTTGTAGACTACATAGTTTAATGTCAAAGCACTCATTGACTTTGTAGCTCCACCTCTCTACACTAAAGGTGGTTGGGTACTTTAGTTCAGCTGTCTTTCTGGGTTCGATTGCTGCTAAATGTCATCTTCATGATTTTGCTGTAGTTCTGAATAGAGAATTCGGCTCATGACTGCCCTCTATTGGTATTGTCTCAAAATGTATGCTGTTCACACAAACCAATTGAGAAGAATAAGACAATTACTGCCCTTAATCCTCTAAGGAAGCAAAACATCACAACAAATGTTCTTGTTTCTGTTTTTATTCAGATTAATATCTTTGATCATGTTATATAACAACAGGAACATGCCAACAATATAAAGTATTATTTCCCGAAGAAGGGAATATATTTTCCTAAAATAGGAGTTTTATTTTTCAGTTGATGTGGAAATGCAGGGAAAATATATCTATTAATAATAACTGATCTATCAGAATGCAATGTCTCCACCAAGGCACTGTTAATCCCCAAGGCTCTTGACAGGTTTGTGTACAGTGTGTCTGGGTTTCCTGTCATTGTGGGCTGCAAGGCGCAGTAGTACAGAGCAGAGTCTTCCAATATAGCAGAGGAGATCTTCAAGTCAACACGGGTCTTCTCTTCATTCAGTCTACCAGTGTGTCGTGGAGTCTTAATGGATATATTCTGTACATACATGCTGCTCTGTAGGATCAAAAGAAGACATTCTGGTCTAGATCCGGGGTATTGACGGTACCGTTGGAGATTGTTAACGTTTCCCTTGTAGTTGCAGGAGTGAGTGATGTCTGTTCCTTGGAGAACATTGACTTCAGGCTTCACTGGAGTTATTGTTTCCTGCTCCATACTATCAGCTGCAACATCATAAGTATTGGGATTGTGTTCATGTTTATTCTAAATGACAAAAAATCATTCGGAAATTATTCAGACCCCTTCCCTTTTTCAACATTTTGATACATAACAGCCTTATTCTATATTGGATTAAATGATTCTACACACAATAACCTATAATGAAAAAGTGAAAACAGGTTTTTAGACATTTTTGCAAATGTATTAAACAGAAATACCTTATTTACTTAAGTATTCAGATCCTTTGCTATGAGACTCGAAATAGAGCTCAGCTTTATTTTTCCAATGATCATCCTTGAGATGTTTTTACAACTTGATTGGAGTCCACCTGTGGTTAATTCAATTGATTGGACATGATTTAGAAAGGCACACACCTGTCTATATAAGGTCCCACAGTTGACAGTGCATTTCAGAGCAAAAACCAAGCCATGAGGTCGAAGGAATTGTCCATAGAGCTCCGAGACAGGATTGTGTCGAGGCACAGATCTGGGGAATGGTATCAAAAGATTTCTGCAGGATTGAAGGTCCCCAACAACACAGTGGCCTCCATCATTCTTAAATGGAAGAAGTTTGGAACCACCAAGACTCTTCCTAGAGCTGGCCGCCCGGCCAAACTGAACAATCGGGGGAGAAGGGCCTTGGTCAGGGAGATGACCAAGAACCTAATGGTCACTCTGACAGAGCTCTAGAGTTCCTCTGTGGAGAACCTTCCAGAAGGACAACCATCTCTGCAGCACTCCACCAATCAGGCCTCTATGGTAGAGTGGCCAGACGGACGCCACTCTTCAGTAAAGGGCACTTGACAGCCCACTTGGAGTTTGCCAAAAGGCACCTAAAGGACTCTCAGACCATGATAAACAATATTCTCTGGTCTGATGAAACCAAGATTCCACACTTTGGCCTGAATACCAAGCATCATGTCTGGAGGAAACCTGGCACCATCCCTACAGTGATGCATGGTGGTGGCAGTATCATGCTGTGGGGATGTTTTTCAGAGTCAGGGACTGGGAGACTAGTCAGGATCGTGGGAAAGATGAACGGAGCAAAGAACAGAGAGATCCTTGATGAAAACCTGCTCCAGAGTGCCCAGGACCTCAGACTGGGGTGAAGGTTCACCTTCCAACAGGACAACGACCCTAAGCACACAGCCATGACAATGCAGGAGTGGCTTCGGAACAAGTCTCTGAATGTCCTTGAGTGGCCCAGCCAGAGCCCGGACTTGAACCCGATCTAACGTCTCTGGAGAGACCTGAAAATTGCTGTGCAGCGACACTCCCAATCCAACCTGACAGAGGATGAGAGGATCTGCAGAGAAGAATGGGAGAAACTCCCCAAATACAGGTGTGCCAAGCTTGTAATGTCATACCCAAGAAGACTCGAAGCTGTAATCCCTGCCAAAGGTGCTTCAACAAAGTACTGAGTAAAGGGTCTGAATACTTATGTAAATGTGATATTTAAGTTTTTTATTTTTAATACATTGCAAAAATGTCTAAAAAATGTTTTTTGCTTTGTCATTATGGGTTATTGTGTGTAGATTGATGAGGAAAATATCAAGGGGTCTGAATACTTTCCAAATGCACTGTAGGTTCCCATAAAGTGCATGACAAGAGAAATAATTTAAACTTTCCAGTAAAATACCACTTAGATTTTAATGCAATCATTCATTGAAAAAAGCAATATCACTGTATTCAAAACGTTATTTGGTTTAAGATGAGAATTCACCACTCACCTACAAACACAGAGAGGAGCAACAGTAATATGAGTGACATCCTGACACAGACTAGATAAACCAACTGAGAGATTAGACAGTGAGAGAGCTCAGAAGATCCTCTACAGAGACATCCTCATGGTTGCAGGTATACCCAGCCTATACCAGTGTTTGAATATGAGGCCCCTCCTCTGATAACTGGATATGTAACTCTTCTTCTGTGGTTTATGGTTAAGGGTTTTCAGTTCCTATTGGCCTCCTCCTTAGATTATTTTAGACTTCATTTCTATCTGGAATTTTTTTTTTTTTTTTTTTTAATAGATCCACTATACTATACCATGCCATACCATATGTACCATCTGCAAATGATGAAAGCAGCAACATAGCTGATAGATACAGTATACAAAATGGAAAACGCTCTGACACAAAACAGGCAGAGTTGAATATCTCTCTCTGTAGCAATCTTTCAGTCTTGATGATTGGAGAAAATGTTGTAGCTCCAGCTACTGCCAAAGACAGCGGGTGGTGAATGACCAACCTTGTTTCTGTGTGTGCCATGCAATCCTTTTTTAATGTACATAGGAGGATTGATGCATTCATTAATTGTTAACAATACTACTCCATTCATTTTATACTGCATTATCCGTTTTTGTTGTTGTTGAATGAATACAGTGCAATTGTTGCTGTTTTTTGTATTTTATTTAATTTAACTTTGTTATTTCATTACTTTTATTTGTCAAAAAATAAGTAGAAAAAGTGTTCTAATGAATGTCAAATGTTATAAAATACAACAATAATAAGACATCTCAAATGAAATAATATTATAAAAAGAATTGTACAACATAACATAAGACATAAGTAAAAAAAATCAACATAAGAAAATACAAATCAATTGTTGTTCTTTTTTGTATTTTATTTCATTTAACTTTGTTATTTCTTTACATTTATTACTGTCACGAGAATTTTGTTATCTCAATGGTTGAAGTCAACTACTTCTTAAAGCTTTGAATAATTCCCAAAAGGTTGTAAATCTCTTAGTTTGAATAAATTAAACAAAGACCCAATTCTGCAATGGTCAGCATTTATTCATTGAGAGCGCTCTGCAACAAAATGGTCGTACAATATTTTTATACGCACGTCAGAGGAAAAATCCCACCCCGCTGTAGGCGGGCTGTATTTTTCCACTGTACACATCTTGTAAGCTCACACCTGGGTTTAGCTCATGTGATTTTCCTCTGCTCTCCTGACCATCAGGTCACACACACACACATATACACACACACACACACACACACACACACACACACACACACACACACACACACACACACACATACACATACACACACGCACACACATGTTCTTATCATAGTCTACTCCTTGCTCAGGCAGGCTGCATTCTTCAGTTATCGCGTCCTCACAATATCCTGAAAGCCTTTTCACTCCCCTTTCCCTGTGTGTTTTGGGAACCAGTCTCCTGTTATTTGGTTTCAATCGTTTTGCACTTCTGCTTTCTGGGATATCAACACATTTGATTAATTCTCTAAGCTCTAGTCTACTAATTAGTCATACATTATTAGTTTAACTAAGGGTGTGACATTTTAGTCATATCTTACTCACACATGTCTTTATCAATTACTTATACTTTCTGTTACTTATTATTTTTGAAAGGAGGTTTGGGAATATTTGTAACTTATGTCTTATGTTATCTTGTACACTTATTTTTATAAAGCTGCTTTTGAGTGTTCAGAGATAAAAGACTGTCGTTTTTCTGACTGGCATGGAAGTGACTACAGTCTTAAGAGGTGTAAAGATAATTAGTATGAAACTAGGGTATTTGATGCAGTGGTACTCCATTCATGTTATACTTCATTATGAAGTAAATAGTAAAAAATCTTCATGATTGATCTGGACATCAAGTTACCGCTCACTGAGAGTATGTCACTTCAGCAGAGGAGATCTCCAGATCCACAAGGGTTCTCTCATCGTTCAGTTTAACTGACAACTGACGGTACGGAGGAGGAGCTTTTACTACAGAGGGGTTTGACGACACTCCAGTGAGGAGGAGGAAGATGGGAGCTGATCCAGGGTCCTGGAGATACCACTGAAGAGAGTGCAGATGAGTAGGTGCATGAAAGTGTAATATTGCTACATTGACATTGTGGCTGAAACTGGAAGTTAAAATTATAACACACAGCACAACAAGATTTGAGTATTACCGAAGCAGAATACATCAAGAACCAGCCAGATGTTTAGACAGAGTACCATGGTTATGCAGAACACACTGGGAGTGACTGTGAGTTACAACAAGCGGTAGAGATCCTCTCTCTCTCTTCCATGTCCATCTCAGCCTGTATATCACCATCAACTGATAGACATGAAGGAGGAGCCTGTTCAGTGAGAGGTAAGATTGTATAGAAATGAATGTTTCAATATTACCTCATCAGTATTATATTAGCACTCTTTGCAGTACAGTAGACAAAGTGAAAAGCCTAGACATCTAGCTCACATCAAATGGAAAATTGCCTAAAGGAATTGACAATGACTTACATGTTGTATGAAATGAGTATGATTAATTTATCTGAAATAACTGTTTGAAAACGTACACATATTCTATTATAATTCAGGTACAAACACTCATGTAGCCTACAGAGTATCTAATTCAGGTCTACTACTGTACATACTGTATTGAAATACATTTTTCATTAGTACTGTATGTTTCTATGGACACATGTGAAACCTATAGTTTTTGAAAGGGAGCTGTTTCTCCTGTTGTCACAGTGGACCTCAGAGCACAGTAGAACACAGCAGAGTCATACAGCTGCACCCTCTGGATGGACAAGGGAACTGATTTTGCTGTGAAATTCAGACAGGCATCAAATCTCTCCTTGAACTCAGTAGCACTTTCCCCAACTCCAAACATATTCCTTCTTAGCATAAAGATGGGGTTGCCATTTGTTTGTTGTTTGTACCAGAAGAGATATCGTGATTGATCAGTTGTAATAAATAGACAAGTGAGTTTTGTTGGTTGTCCTTCTAAGACCATTACATCTTCTGTTGGCTGTGTTACATTCTCTTCTGCTCTGCACCCTGAAAAGAAAGATAAATATATCTTCACAACATATAATAATAATGTATCTAAATAAAATGAACAAATGCACAGAAAGAGACAGATGAACAGAGTGATGTTATACCAAAGCAGCATGCAGCCAGAACATGCAGGATCAGCCAGTTTCTCATGACTAGTCAGTCAGTTTGAAGTGTAAAAGGTAAGGAGCAGAACAATGCTGATCTATCTATCACAGAGCTTTGACACCCTCTGTCCTACTGTTGATGCTTCATGTTGTTCTGTATTACATGCAGTAGTAGACCATGGGGAGGTGTCTGTCTGTATGTCATCCTCTGATTCAGGGGTGTGTGTGCTTTGTTAGGTTGCCCCCTTCAGGTTGACTTTCATACTACACCACCAAAATCAAATCAAATCAATTTTATTTGCCACAGTGAAATGCTTACTTACAAGCCCTTAACCAACAATGCAGTTTTAAGAAAAAGTGTCAAGTAAAAAATAGATAAGTAAAAAATAAAAATAAAAAATAATTAAAGAGCACCAGTAAAATAAAATAACAGTGCGGAGGCTATATACAGGGAGTACCGGTACAGAGTCAATGTGCGGGGGCACTGGTTAGTTGAGGTAATTGAGGTAATATGTACAGGTGGGTAGAGTTAAAAAGACTATGCTTAGATAATAAACAGAGCAGCAGCAGCGTAAAAGATGGGGTGCGGTGGGGTGGGGTGGGCAATGCAAATAGTCTGGGTAGCCACGCTTAGCTGTTCATGAGTCTTATGGCTTGGGGATAGAAGCTGTTAAGAAGCCATTTGGACCTAGATTTCGTGGTCCGGTACCGGGTGGCTGGAGTCTTTCACAATTTTTAGGGCCTTCCTCTGACACCGCCTGGTATATAGGTCCTGGATGGCAAGAAGCTTGGCCCCAGTGATGTACTGGGTCGTATGCACTACCCTCTGTAGCGCCTTGCGGTCGGAGGCCAGCAGTTGCCATACCAGGCAGTCATGCAACCAATCAGGATGCTCTCGATGGTGCAGCTGTATAACTTTTTGAGGATCTGAGGACCCATGCCAAATCTTTTCAGTCTCCTTAGGGGGAATAGGCTTTGTCGTGCCCTCTTCACGACTGTCTTGGTGTGTTTGGACCATGATAGTTTGTTGGTGATGTGGACACCAAGGAACTTGAAGCTCTTAACCTGTTCCACTACAGCCCAAGCTGTGTAAATTGTGAGGAGGAGTAACTACAAACAATAACATTGCTGTACATGTGTCATATTCCCAAGTGCTTTTCCAACCAATATTTAAATACCTGTCTAACTGAAATTGAAGCCTAGAAGAGTGACAAATACATCTTTCTCACAATTCATTGAATATGAAGACAGAGAAACACTAGACAACCTGGTGATTGCACACAGCACAGGTGTGACCACACTTCTCTGATCTCAACCTCTGCTATTATGATATCACATTGTGGTTTGATGTTTAATTATGTTCCACACAGCAACAAAGCATTTTTGGTCTGCAAGTTTTTGTACGGCATCTTATACACTTTGTATCACTGGGTATAATCCCAGAGAGCACAGTAGTAGAGAGCTGTGTCTGCCAGGGTTAGTCTTGTTATGACCAGTTCAGTTGATGTCCGAGACGTTGTGGATTTATATCTCTTATCAGGGATATGTTCACCGCTGTTTGATCTGGCACCTTTATACAGTAGAAACTGAGGAGCCTGGTTAGAATAATGCCGGTACCAGTAAAGGAAGATGTTACTGCTGCTTGTTTCATATGTACAGCTCAGAGTCACTGATGATCCCTCAGTGGGGGTGTACTCCTCCTTGTCAGGAGTCACACTATCTCCAGATACCATTCCTGCAGAGGAAAAATAGATAATAAAGCTGATTGAAAACTCATGCTAATTATTTACATTTAAATGACTTTAATATACATGTTTTCCTACCAATACCATAATAATAATAATAATAATCTGATTATAAGGATGCAAGGATTTCAAATGTTTAGGTATTGTTTACCTGTAGCCATAATCAGAATGATCAATACACTGATTGATTTCTCCATCTTCAGGCTGATGTTTGCATGCATTCACTCTCCTCTGAAATGTTCTTCTGTGTGTCACTGTATGAGGTGTACAGCCCTGGTTACGTCACACCCACCACATAAGTAAGGCTTGCATTTTTTCTACACTAGTGCCAAGGATACACTCGTGCCAAGGATACACAGTGGGCCTCAAAGCACAGTAGTACACAGCAGAGTCAGACAGCTGCACCCTCTAGATCGTCAAGAGGACTGATTTGGTGATGGAACTGAGATGGGCATCAAATCTCTCCTTGAATTTATCATCAAAATCCCCTGATCCAATGACATCTTTCCACAAAACACATTCAGGGTAATTGTTTGTGGATTGAACGTACCAGAAGAGAGATGGAGCTGATAAACTGGTGTTGTATTCACAGTTGAGTGACGTGTTCTTCTTCATAAGCAGTCACTTCTCTCTTTGACTGACTAGCACTGTCTGCTCCTCTGCACTCTGGAAACAAAGAAGAATACCTTTGTGATAAATGTCAGGATTCCAGTAACATCAGAGTATTGAGAAAAAGATAATGAGAGCCATATCCTACCAAAGAGAAGTGCAGCAAGAACAACAGAAGTACACAGCCAATGTCCCATACTTATCATAGGATACAAAGACCAAGACAAACTGATGTTACAATATAGAAACTGGTGTGCTCTCTTGATTCCTGTCTTTGTAGCAGCACAGGCCTAGACCATGCAGCACAGAACAGAGGGGATGTTCAAATAGACAAGTCATTTCAGAGTAGAAAGCAACACTCACTTGGTAATGTGGCCCCCTTGTGGTTGATGCTGGCTTTTACATTACTCCACACAATACTGAGTATAACTTTTTTTACCTGAATTAATCTAGTCAAACACTACTAGCTGTATATGTTCTAATCCATGAGATATGTCAATGGAATTTTAATGTCTCTTACATCTACAATTACAGCTGATTTGGAAGAGGGAGCTCTATTGGCATCAACAATGACTTACCGTATAATCATCATCACTATGATTATCATCATCTGCTACCACTAGTCTTGGTAGTCTCAGGAAGGTAGTGAGAAGGTTGCTGTGTCAATTTCAAAGTGGTGTTGAATACTGTACATACAGGTGTATTGTCATTGTGTAGCTCAGTATGTTTTTGTAAGGGGGCTGTATATCCTGTTGTCACAGTGGGCTTCAGAGCACAGTAGTACACAGCAGAGTCAGACAGCTGCAACCTCTGGATCGTCAAGGGGACTGATTTGGAGTCTTTATCTAGATGGGCATCAAATCTCTCCTTGAACTCAGTGGCATTTGCACTTCCAACAGAAAAACGTCCCAGCATGAACTTTGGGAAGCCATTTACTTTATGCTTGTACCAGAACAGGTAGAGATTATTAATATCAACTGCATCAAATTGACAGCCTAGTGTGACCTGTTCTCCCTCAGTAGCGATCACATCTCCTGGTGGCTGAGTGACTGTGTCTTCTCCTCTGCATTCTGAAAAGGAATGAGAAAAGTATCAAGCAACATGATATACATTTTAAATTCATTCATTTAGCAGACTTATCCAGAGCGACTTACAGTAGTGAGTGCATACATTTTTGTACTTTTTCATACTGGTCCCCCGTGGGAATCTAATCCACAACCCTGGTGTTGCAATCACCATACTCTATAACTGAGCCACGCAGGACCACACATGATAGAAGATATAAAGACATATGAAATGAATACTGGTAGTGTTATACTGAAAAATATGTTTGAAAAAGAAAAGGATGGGAGCAAAAGGCAGTAAACGAGTTAGGAAAATAATATTATCATACCATAACAACATGCAGCAAGTATCAGCACATTCCTCAGCCAGGGTTCCATGCCTACAGTGAGATGGGTGGGAGAAGAGTAAAACACACTGATGTATGCTACATGTGACATAAGACTATGAAATCATTGTCTCCTCCTCTTTCAGTGTATCATCAAACATTGAGAAGCTTGTGACATTGTCTTAATAACACTCTACCCTGAGCTTTTGTGCAGTGACTGAATCTACTGATGTCACAGTGGACCTCAGAGCATAGTACAAAGCAGAGTCAGATGGCTGCAACCTCTGGATCGTCAAGGGGACAGAGCTAGATGTGAAATTCAGCCCGGAATCAAACCTCTCTTTGAACTCATCACTATTGCTCCCTTCTGAATAGCGATCTCTTCTCAGGATATACTGAGGAGAGTCCCTAGTTAACTGGATGTACCAGAAGAGATCAGGAGATGTACTACTGGTAGTGTAGTTACAGCTGAGTGTTACCAGCCCTCCTTCAAGGGCAGTAACATGTCCACTCTGCTGTTCAACAGCCTCTTCACCTTTGCAATCAGAAAAAATATATTTGGGGTTTATAATACATAATAGGCTAAGGTTCAGAGAATGATAATGTAGAAAGGAGAAGCACTATACTGTACCAAAATAGCATGCAGCCAGGATAAGTACAGTATTCCTAAGTCAAGGGGCCATTATGATTTATGTATAGAGGAAGAATAGACTGTTATAGACTTTATGTTCCATCCACTGTAGCTGAGAAGTCTCATAATTGTGGGGCTCTGCAGCAGGGGAGAAGCTTATTGTATATTCAATTTAGATGAACTGCTAGAAGGATTCCCTGTGAAATGCTGCCCTTCTCAGGTTGATTTAGTTTGAAATGCTAATTGTGGGGGAAATTATACCACAACGACACCTGTAAAGTGTTGACATGCTGCATGCATCATTTAAGAGGTTGGGGGAGGGTGTTATAAATTGACATATGTAATTATTTTAAGATGGTCATACCATGGATCATTTAGCAATTTGATTTGGAAGTTTAGGAACCCTTTAGGTATAAAAAAACATAACAAAATGATTTGATAAAATATTTAATTTGGCCTTTACTACCAAATCCCATGGAAACGCATTGAATAACAGTCATAAATGACATTCAAAAAATAAATCACACAGAATAAGGTTAAGTGTCAGTTCTATATCTAGGAGATAAGAAAGCTCAGGAAAATCACATTTTTAACCCCTTAAATTATCCATCATGTTTGTGAGAGTCTCCCCTTTTCACAGTGGGGTTACAGTAGTTTGTAGCCCAAACGGTTCGTACGCTACATACGTATTCGTGAGAGTCTCATCTTTAAATAGAGTGGTCATATCATTTTTCTAGTCCAAACCGTTCGGACGCTACAGACGTTTTTGTGAGAAGACCGATTTTCGTGATGTCATATGGTTTGACAAACGCCGCTGAAACTCAGCCACCTTCCACCACAGATGCGAAAGACCGCCATAGCCTGATGCGGTGGATTGAGATGCAGCCCATGCAAATTATATTTCTAGCTTAAAGGAATAGAAGCAAACTGATGAGACTCCACTGACACCTATTGACTCTCAGTAGTAACTTGCCCTTGAATATACAAGCAATGTCAAGGTTTCACCTAGTTGGACAGAATGTTGAACACTAGATGGAACTATTGTATCATTATTATACATAGAAAAACCTTGTCACTGGACTTCATAACTGTGGAGGGCAGTCTACAGGAGGAGCAGAGACAAAGAAGATCTGTCACATAACTGATCAGGAGGCAGAGAGAACATCTCAGTTATTGTGGCTGAAGAGTGAGAAGCAGTGTTTAAGAAACTTGGCTCACTTTGGCCTGATCAACCCATCCTTCAGAAGGTGTAGTGGGCAGCACATGTAGGATAAGAAGGTACCTCACCTGAAGATCAGCCAGGAGGTGCGGAAACGGCTGTTTGTGGGTAAATATAAAGAAAACCCTTCATAATTTTTAGTCGCTCTTCAACATTTTAATACACATTTCAATGATAAAATTGTAGCGTTTTCAGCACTGGGTTCTTTGTAAGGCCGGTTTTACACATACAAACACACAACACCAGTCCAAGTGAAGGGTTATACCGGATTATTAATATCAAGCTTTGACAGCGTTGTTGATATACAAAACCCAAAACAAACAAAGTAAACACTTCACCACCAGTGGAAGGTCCTCCAAGCTTTGTCTTTGGGGGTTCAATCCTTATTGAAATCATAATTTCCTTTCTTCTATAAAACCTACTTCTCCACCGTACGCTCTGTCTCTCCAATAACCTCCTACTCCTTCACCTGCCGGGGTCAACAAAAAAAACTAAGAAAGAAAACCCAGGGCATGGTTAAGTTTAGTAATTGATTGGTTTCACCTGTCTGCAGTTTGGCTCTGATTACAACTGGAAACAGGTGTGTCTGGTCTGCTGCAGACTAGAAGTTTCCACTGAGCTGTCTGTGGTCCTGCCTCTGGGGAATACTTCACATTGCTGTCCGTGGTCCTGGCAGCCAAAAAACTAAGGAACCTCGCAGGTACATAACGTCCATACACAACACAACCCCTGAAACAGCTACAATATTATGAAAATTCATAACGGCTATTGTAAATAATATAATATTTTTCTTACAATCAATCTTACAATCAAAGTTTCACATTTAACCTTTGAGTGTGAATAACAAAATAAAACCACCTTAAGGACAGGTGAAACATTCCAGTCATAGGCTTTATTAATAGGAGACATTAAATCATTCATTAGTGTTTTGATGTCTTCAAAGTAAGGGTTAGAGAAAAGTAAAAAAATAACCCAGATAAATTCCTGCTGATGTGGTCCCTGCTGAGTGTTTTTTGTACAGTGTGTGTAGGTTTCCTGTCACTGTGGGCCTCACAGCACAGTAGTACAGAGCAGAGTCTGTCACTTCAGCAGAAGAGCTCCCCAGATCCACACAAGTCTTTTCATCATTTATTTTGACTGACAGTCTAGGATCCAGACCTGGAGCCCGTGATGAAGATCCAACACCATGCAGGATAAGCAGGATATACTGAGGAGCTGATCCAGGGTCCTGGAGATACCATTGAAGAGAGACTGCAGATGAGTAGGTGCATGAAAGTGTAATATTGCTACCTGCTGGAACATACACCTCCTCTCTGGTTGGCTCAATGGTCTGACCATTACTGTCACCTGCAAGAGATGCAAAATATGTTATTCTTCTATTATTACTTGTTATCAATCTATTTTCAACGCATCAACACTTAGTTTAGATTCAACATAAAACAATTAAGTAGATTACTTACATGCAAGTACTAAAAGCAAATTAAATGTGGGGATTGACATTGTGGCTGAAACTGGAAGTTAAAATGATAACACAGAGCACAACAAGTTTTGTGTATACTAAAAAACATCCTCCTCCTTCTAGTTTTGAATGGACCATCTGTTCTCAAACCTTTGAAGCCCCACCCCAAAATACAGAGAGTTGTCAGATGAGCAGAAGTAACAGCAGACTTCTTGCTGCTGCTTGATGCCACTGTCACATCCTCAAAATGCAGGTTTGGACTGAAATATGATTACCTTAGTCTCCCTCTATTGGAATTTATTTTCTTGATTTTAGGTCAACATAGTTGGCAGAAGGATCTGAACTGTCTACTGTGATGTCATAGGGGGAAACATTGCTTGAAGGGAAGATCTGTTAGATAATTAATCTATTGAACATTTTCACAGTTTATTTTGGTTTCATATTTCAATCTAGAATCTAAAGTATAAATCAGCAAAACAATCAGATAGCATTATTGGGTTTCTCTCACTTTTCCATTCAAAATTGGAATCAACATATTCTTTTGTTGTTAATTTAAAATATTGAAGTGTTCATTTTCAGTGTAGGTGTGTTTTATCTATACAAGGTAATGATAACATTTAAAATTAGCCTGATGGATTTTTTTCACTTAGGGTATGTCAGTTTTATTCAGTTCAGGTTTTTGTACAGTGTTTCTGGGTTTCCTGTCACTGTGGGCTGCAGGGCACAGTAGTACAGAGCAGAGTCTGTCACTTCAGTAGAGGAGATCTCCAGATCCACACGGGTTCTCTCATCATTCAGTTTAACAGACAGCCGTGGGTATGGAGGAGTAGCGTTCACTACAGCGGGGTTTGAGGACACTCCGGTGAGGAGGAGGAAGATGGGAGATGATCCAGGGTACTGTCGATACCATTGGAGATTACTAGCAGAGGAGTAGTTACAGGACAGCTTTATGACATCACCCTCCAACCCAATCACCTTATCTGTTGTTGGAGTAATGTCATTCCCATGACTGCCACCTGGAAAACATTTATGAAAACAGGAATTATTATCAGGAAATTATTATACAATTCTACTCATTATTCAGTCAAGTGTATTAAAAATTGTCAAAAGATCCTTCACAGGAATATGACTCCAGTCTTCAGTAACTACATTCATAGTGATTGGATATGAAGAACAGCATCAAACTCACCCACTAGTGCAAATATTAAAACTGATCCCAGTATCATTATGGTAAGTGTTATTTAACACAGTGAAAATAGTGAACACAAGTATAGTTATGACAGAATGACTCCCCTGGTTTCTCACTGTCAGCTATGAAAGGTATTTCCTTTCTTCTGCCTCAATTATGTAAAACCTCCCCTTGACTTAAAAAATGGCACACAACAAAAAGTTTTGTACACACCCACATACACACACAGTTTTTTTTAAAGGGGGCTGTATATCCTGTTGTCACTGTGGGCCTCAGAGCACAGTAGTACACAGAAGAGTCAGTCAGCTGCAACCTCAGGATCATCAAGGGGACTGATTGTGTCTTGGCATTTAGACTTTTCTTGAACCCTGCAGCCTTGTCTCCAGATCCAAAAGAATAACTGCTCAGCATATGTTTAGGGAAGTCATTTGCTTCTTGTTTGTACCAATAAAGATATGCATTAGTAGCACTGGTGTTATATTGACATCTCAGTGTTGCCAGTCTTCCTTCTGTAGCAATCACACCTCCTGGTTGCTGTTGAACATGGTCTCCTGAGCACTCTGGAAGACAAACAAATATAAAGTGAGTGATAATGAAAGATTCAAAAAATTAAAATTAGAAGGATGACGAAATGGTTCCATCTTACCAAAGCACAGTACAGCAAGAACCAGCCAGATGATCAGACAGAGTACCATGGTTATGAAGAACACACAGAGAGTGACTGTGAGTTACAGTAAGAGGTAGAGATCCTCTCTCTCTCTTCCATGTCCATCTCAGCCTGTATATCACCATCAACTGACGGACATGAAGGAGGAGCCTGTTCAGAGAGAGGAAAGATTGTAAAGAAATGTATGGGTCAATATTACCTTGTCAGTATTATATTAGCACTCTTTGCCGTACATTAGAGACGAAGTGAAACGACTACGTCTAGTTAAAATAATATGGTAGGTATTGACAATGACATAAATATTGTATGAAGTGAGTATGATTAACTTATTTGAAAATAAATGTTTGAAAACATACACATATTCAATTCATATTCTTCTACTGTATATGCGGGACCAAATAATTCACAACAATATGTCTCCCGTAATCATATGTATAGTTTGAACAGGATCATTTCTGTAGCTCCTCCCTTTGACATAAAACCCATTCAATGATGGCTCTTAAGGAAGTTAGGTGGTAGTGATGAAGGTTTGGTTTACTAAATGACAGTAAAGATGGCATCAAATGGCATTTATATTATGCCATTTTCCGTCTAGATAGAACTGCCAAAGGGGGTGGAGTTGCAATCTACTGTAGAGATAGCCTGCAGAGCTCTATCATACTATCCAGGTCTGTGCCCAAACAGTTTGAGCTTCTACTTCTAAAAATCCACCTTTCCAGAAATAAGTCTCTCACTGTTGCCGCTTGCTACAGACCCCCCTCAGCACCCAGCTGTGCCCTGGACACCATATGTGAATTGATTGCCCCCCATTTATCCTCAGAGTTTGTACTGCTTGGTGACCTAAATTGGGATATGCTTAATACCCCAGCCATCCTACAATCCAAGCTAGATGCCCTCAACCTCACGCAAATTATCAACGAACCTACCAGGTACAACCCTAAATCCGTAAACATGGGTACCCTCATAGATATCATCCTGACTAACATACCCTCTAAATACACCTCAGCTGTCTTCAACCAGGATCTCAGCGATCACTGCCTTATTGCCTGCGTCCGTAACGGGTCCGCGGTCAAACGACCACCCCTCATCACTGTCAAACGCTCCCTAAAACACTTTAGCGAGCAGGCCTTCCTAATTGACCTGGCCCAGGTATCCTGGATGGATATAGATCTCATTCCATCAGTAGAGGATGCCTGGTTGTTCCTTAAAAGTAATTTCCTCTCAATCTTAAATAAACATGCCCCATTCAAAAAATACAGAACTAAGAACCGATATAGCCCCTGGTTCTCCTCAGACTTGACTGCCCTTGACCAGCACAAAAACATCCTGTGGCGTACAGCATTAGCATCAAATAGCCCCCGCGATATGCAACTTTTCAGGGAAGTTAGGAACCAATATACACAAGCAGTCAGGAAAGCAAAGGCTAACTTTTTCAAACAGAAATTTGCATCCTGTAGCACTAACTCCAAAAAGTTTTGGGACACTGTAAAGTCCATGGAGAATAAGAGCACTTCCTCCCAGCTGCCCACTGCACTGAGGCTAGGAAACACTATCACCACCGATAAATCTACAATAATCGAGAATTTCAACAAGCATTTTGCTACAGCTGGCCATGCTTTCCATCTGGCTACCACTACCCCGGCCACCAACTCTGCACCCTCTGCTGCAAATTGCCCATGCCCCCCCCGCTTCTCCTTCACACAAATTCAGACAGCTGATGTTTTGAAAGCGCTGCAAAATCTGGACCCCTACAAATCAGCTGGGCTAGACAATCTGGACCCTTTCTTTCTAAAACTAGCCGCCGAAATTGTCGCAACCCCTATTACTAGTCTGTTCAACCTCTCTTTCATAACGTCTGAGATCCCCAGAGATTGGAAAGCTGCCGCGGTCATCCCCCTCTTCAAAGGGGATGACACTCTAGATCCAAACTGCTACAGACCTATATCCATCCTGCCCTGATTTTCGAAAGTTAACAAACAGATCACCGACCATTTCGAATACCACCGTACCTTCTCCGCTATGCAATCCGGTTTCCGAGCTGGTCATGGGTGCACTTCAGCCACGCTCAAGGTCCTAAACGATATTATAACCGCGATTGATAATAGACAGTACTGTGCAGCCGTCTTCATCGACCTGGCCAAGGCTTTCGTCTCTGTCAACCACCGCATTCTTATTGGCAGACTAAATAGCCTTGGTTTCTCAAATGACTGCCTCGCCTGGTTCACCAACTACTTCTCAGATAGAGTTCAGTGTGTCAAATCGGAGGGCCTGTTGTCTGGACCTATGGCAGTCTCTATGGGGGTGCCACAGGGTTCAATTCTTGGGCCGACACTTTTCTCCGTGTATATCAATGATGTCGCTCTTGCTGCTGGTGACTCTCAGATCCACCTCTACGCAGACGACACCATTTTGTATACATCTGGCCCTTCATTGGACACTGTGTTAACAAACCTCCAAACGAGCTTCAATGCCATACAACAATCCTTCAGTAGCCTCCAACTGCTCTTAAACACTAGTAAAACTAAATGCATGCTTTTCAATCGAACGCTGCTGGCACCCGCCCACCCGACTAGAATCACCACTCTCGACGGGTCTGACGTAGAGTATGTGGACAACTACAAATACCTAGGTGTCTGGTTAGACTGTAAACTCAACTTCCAGACTCACATAAAGAATCTCCAATCCAAAGTTAAATCTAGAATCGGCTTCCTATTTCGCAACAAAGCCTCCTTCACTCATGCTGCCAAACATGCCCTCGTAAAACTGACTATCCTACCGATCCTTGACTTCGGCGATGTCATTTACAAAATAGCCTCCAACACTCTACTCAGCAAATTGGATGTAGTCTATCACAGTGCCATCCGTTTTGTCACCAAAGCCCCATACACTACCCACCACTGTGACCTGTACGCTCTTGTTGGCTGGTCCTCACTACATGTTCGTCGTCAAACCCACTGGCTCCAGGCCATCTATAAATCACTGCTAGGCAAATCCCCGCCTTATCTTAGCTCATTGGTCACCATAGCAGCACCCACCCGTAGTCTGCGCTCCAGCAGGTATATCTCACTGGTCATTCCCAAAGCCAACACCTCCTTTGGCCGCCATTCCTTTCAGTTCTCTGCTGCCAATGACTGGAACAAATTGCAAAAATCTCTGAAGCTGGAGACTCTTATCTCCCTCAATAACTTTAAGCATCAGTTGTCAGAGCACCTTTTCGATCACTGCACCTATACACAGCCCATCTGAAATTAGCCCACCCAACTACCTCATCCCTATATTGTTATTTATTTTGCTCTTTTGCACCCCAGTATCTCTATTTGCACATAATCTCTTGCACATCTAGCATTCCAGTGTTAATACTATTGTAATTATTTTGCACTATAGCCTATTTATTGCCTTACCTCCATAACTTGCTACATTTGCACACACTGTATATATATTTTCTGTTGTATTTTTGACTTTATGTTTTTTTTACCCCATATGTAACTCTGTGTTGTTTTTATTGCACTGCTTTGGTTTATCTTGGCCAGGTCGCAGTTGTAAATGAGAACCTGTTCTCAACTGGCTTACCTGGTTAAATAAAGGTGAAATAAAAAAATATATAAAAATATGAGAGAATATTTAGAACGTTAAGTCATATGACATTTCTGAAAGTCATGATATATTTACTTTATTTCCAAATATAAAATGTGGTCACTGGTAGTTGAACAAGCAAATAACTTTCATATTTAAATAAGGGAATATAATGGATGGGAGGTAAGATCTATTCAGACTCAGGTTCTAGGGGTCTCAGGTTAGATATAATGTCACGGTTTCGGCCGAGGCTGCTCCTCTTCCTTGTTCGGGCAGGCTTCGGCGGTCGTCGTCTCCGGAGTACTAGCTGCCACCGTTCTATGTTTCATGTTCTTTTGGTTTTGTCTGTTCATAACACCTGTCCCTTATTTGTGTCTTAATTGTTCCCTTATTTAGTTCGTGTGTTTGGGTCAGGTGTTATGCGTGATTGTCTTGTTGTCAGCTGTTGCTCGAGATATTTTGAGTCTCTCGTATGTGTTACGAGAGTTCGCACTGCGTGCGCTTTTTCTTGTTTTCTCCGCACAGTGTTTTGTGCGTAATCTGTTTGCGCCACCCGGTTGGGTTGACGTTTATTGCCGTGTCAGACTTGACTAAAGTTCTGTTAAAGTCCTCCTGGTTTCCTGCGCTTGATTCCTTCCTCATCTACACACACCACTCTGACAGAATCACGCATCCTCACCATGGAATCAGCAGGAGCGACCGCGCCGACAGCCGAGATGGCTGAACGTCTTCGTGGTCAGGAGGACCGCATCAACCAGGTCTGTCATGCCCTGGAGGGGGTGATGAATACTCTGCACCGATGGGAGACCAGCGGGGTTCCCACACCTCCAAGAACCGAACCAGCCCCATCGGCCAGCCCCCCTGTCTCATCTCCGGAACCTAGTGGGATTCGGCTCTCGCTCCCGAGGGCGTACGACGGCTCCACTGCCGGGTGTCAAGGATTCCTGCTGCAGGTGGAGCTCTACCTCGCCACCGTACACCCGGCGCCCTCGGGACACGAGAGCGTCTCAGCCCTCATCTCCTGTCTCACCGGCAAGGCGTTGGAGTGGGCCAACGCCGAGTGGAGGAGAATGGACGCCGCTACCACGAACTATGCGGAGTTCTCCCGCCGCTTCCGTGCTGTGTTCGACCATCCACCGGAAGGGAAGGCGGCGGGGGAACGTCTATTCTACCTCCGACAGGGGATGAGGAGCGCCCAGGACTTTGCCTTAGAGTTTCGGACCCTAGCGGCTGATGCAGGGTGGAATGAGCGGGCCCATATCGACCATTTCCGCTGCAGCCTCCGGGAGGACGTCCAGCGAGAGTTGGCGTGCAGGGACACGTCGTTGACGTTCGACCAGCTGGTCGACATGGCCATCCGGCTGGATACCCTGCTCGCCACCCGTGGGCGTCCCGGAGGGGGGGGTTCGCCCATTCCACTCTCCAGCACCTCCGAGCCGAGCCCTATGGAGCTCGGAGGTGCTGGCGCTAGGGAACGGAGGAGGAGGAGCCCGAGGGGACCCGGCCCTTGCACCAACTGTGGTCGTGGAGGGCACACCGCGGCTAGGTGTTGGGGCGGGTCCTCCAGTGAGGGAGATGGCAGGTCACGCATTGGGGGGTCCCCCCAGGTGAGTAGGCGCCCTGCTTACCCAGAGCTTTCTGTCGTGCACCTAACCTTGCCTGTTTGTTTCCCACAGGTTGCACCTCGTTCCCAGCATAAGGCGCTGGTAGATTCAGGCGCAGCTGGGAATTTTGTAGATCGCCAGTTCTGTATAGAGTTAGGGATTCCCCTCCTTCCAGTGGATAAGCCTTTCCCCGTCCATGCCCTAGATAGCCGTCCGTTAGGGTCTGGGTTGATTAGGGAAGTCACAGCACCCATTCAGATGACGGCGCAGGAGGGTCATGAGGAGAGGATTCAGCTCTATCTGATTGACTCTCCTGCGTATCCGGTAGTGCTGGGTCTTCCCTGGTTGATGGCTCATGACCCTATTATTAGGTGGCGAGAGAAAGCTCTTAAAGGGTGGTCTGCTCAATGTGAGGGGCGGTGTCTGGGTGTTTCCATAGGGGCGACCTCGGTGGAGAGTCCGAATCTAATGCCAGCACTGCAGATTCCCCCCGAGTATGAGGATTTGGCACTGGCGTTCAGTAAGACTAGGGCGGCGCAGCTGCCGCCTCATAGACGGGGGGATTGTGCGATAGATCTCCAGTCAGGAGCAGCTCTCCCGCGGAGCCATGTGTATCCCTTGTCTCAAGAGGAGAGAAAGGCTATGGAGACATACATCTCTGAGTCTCTTAGACAGGGATACATACGGGCCTCCGTTTCACCCGCTTCCTCAAGTTTCTTTTTTGTAAAGAAAAAGGATGGAGGTCTGCGCCCGTGTATTGATTACCGCGGTCTCAATCAGATCACAGTGAAGTACAGCTATCCACTTCCTCTGATTGCGACTATGACGGAGTCACTGCACGGTGCGCAGTTCTTTACAAAATTGGATCTTAGGAGCGCATATAACTTGGTACGCATTCGAGAGGGCGATGAATGGAAGACAGCGTTTAGCACGACTTCCGGACACTACGAGTATCTAGTCATGCCATATGGGTTGATGAATGCTCCCTCAGTCTTCCAATCCTTCGTCGATGAGATTTTCCGGGACATGCAGGGACAGGGAGTAGTTGTGTACATCGACGACATTCTGGTGTATAGTCCTACCCGTGCTGAGCATGTAGCCCTGGTGCGCCGAGTATTGAGGAGGCTGTTGGAGCATGACCTATATGTCAGGGCAGAGAAATGTCTGTTTTTCCAGAAGTCGGTCTCCTTTCTGGGTTACCAGTTATCTGCGTCAGGGGTGAAGATGGAGGTAGACCGGGTGTCAGCTGTGCGTAATTGGCAGACCCCAACCACTGTGAAGGAGGTGCAACGGTTCTTGGGTTTTGCGAATTATTACCGGAGGTTTATCCGGGGTTTTGGACAGGTGGCAGCTCCCATAACGTCTCTGTTAAAGGGGGGTCCGGTGCGCTTGCGGTGGTCAGCTGAGGCGGACAGGGCATTTGGGAGACTAAAGGACCTGTTTACCTCGGCGCCGGTGTTGGCGCATCCGGATCCCTCTTTACCGTTCCAAGTAGAGGTGGACGCGTCAGAGGCCGGAATAGGGGCCGTTCTTTCCCAGCGTTCTGGCACTCCACCTAAACTCCGTCCCTGTGCGTTCTACTCTAAGAAGCTCAGTCCGGCGGAGCGGAATTATGACGTAGGAGACAGGGAGCTGTTAGCCGTGGTACAGGCCCTAAAGGTGTGGCGGCATTGGCTCGAGGGGGCTCAACACCCTTTCCTCATTCTAACTGACCATCGTAACCTGGAGTACATCCGGGCAGCTAGGAGACTGAATCCTCGCCAGGCTCGCTGGACTATGTTCCTAGCCCGGTTTGTGTTTAAGATCACATACATCCCTGGGTCCCAGAACGGGAAGGCAGATGCTCTGTCTCGGCGGTATGACGCAGAGGAGAGGTCAGTTGAGTCCACGCCCATACTACCGGAGTCTTGTCTGGTTGCTCCGGTGGTGTGGGAGGTTGATGGTGAGATCGAGCGGGCGTTACGCACCGACCCGAGTCCTCCACAGTGTCCTGTGGGTCGGACGTACGTTCCGCTCGAGGTACGCGATCGCCTCATTTGTTGGGCTCATACGTCCCCCTCCTCTGGCCATCCGGGTATCGGCCGGACAGTGCACTGCCTTAGCACGAAGTACTGGTGGCCAACGTTAGCTAGGGATGTGAGGATTTATGTCTCCTCCTGTTCGGTGTGTGCCCAGTGTAAGGCGCCCAGACATTTGCCCAGGGGTAAGTTACAACCCCTGCCTATTCCACAACGACCCTGGTCCCACCTCTCGGTGGATTTTGTTACCGACCTCCCCCCCTCACAGGGGAATACTACCATCCTGGTCGTTGTGGATCGGTTCTCTAAGGCCTGTCGTCTCCTTCCCATGCCGGGTCTACCCACTGCCCTACAGACCGCTGAGGCTCTGTTCACCCATGTCTTCCGGCATTACGGGGTACCCGAGGATATAGTGTCTGACCGAGGCCCCCAGTTCACCTCTAGAGTGTGGAGAGCATTTATGGAACGGTTGGGGGTTTCGGTAAGCCTTACCTCGGGGTACCACCCGGAGAGTAATGGGCAGGTTGAACGTGTCAACCAGGATGTGGGTAGGTTTCTGAGGTCATACTGTCAGGGCCGGCCGGAGGAGTGGGCGAGATATGTGCCCTGGGCCGAGATGGCACAGAACTCTCTTCGCCACTCCTCCACCCAACTAACCCCTTTTCAGTGTGTGTTAGGGTACCAGCCGGTTCTGGCACCATGGCATGAGAGCCAGATCGAGGCCCCCGCTGTGGATGAGTGGGTGCGGCGCTCGGAGGAGACGTGGGACGCTGCACACGTCCATCTGCAGCGTGCCATACGTCGACAGAAGACGAGCGCCGACCTACACCGCAGTGAGGGGCCAGTGTACGCACCTGGAGATCGAGTCTGGCTCTCAACCAGAAACCTGCCCCTCCGCCTGCCCCTGCCGGAAGCTGGGTCGGCGGTTTGTGGGGCCATTTAAAGTCCTGAGGAGATTGAACGAGGTGAGTTATAGGTTAGAACTACCTGTTGATTACAAAAATATTAACCCCTCGTTCCATGTGTCTCTCCTCAGGCCGGTGGTAGCTGGTCCACTCCAGGACTTTGAGATTGAGGAGACTCCTCCGCCCCCGTTGGACATCGAGGGGGCTCCGGCGTACACCGTGAGGTCCATCCTGGATTCTAGACGCCGGATGGGGGGTCTTCAATATCTCGTGGAGTGGGAGGGGTACGGCCCGGAGGAGCGGTGCTGGGTGCCAAGGAGGGACGTCTTAGACCAGTCCCTACTGACCGATTTCCATCGGGGTCATCCTGCGCGCCCTGCTCCGCGTCGTCCGGGTCGTCCCCGAGCTCCGGGTCGGCGCACGGCTGGAGCCGCGCGTCAAGGGGGGGGTACTGTCACGGTTTCGGCCGAGGCTGCTCCTCTTCCTTGTTCGGGCAGGCTTCGGCGGTCGTCGTCTCCGGAGTACTAGCTGCCACCGTTCTATGTTTCATGTTCTTTTGGTTTTGTCTGTTCATAACACCTGTCCCTTATTTGTGTCTTAATTGTTCCCTTATTTAGTTCGTGTGTTTGGGTCAGGTGTTATGCGTGATTGTCTTGTTGTCAGCTGTTGCTCGAGATATTTTGAGTCTCTCGTATGTGTTACGAGAGTTCGCACTGCGTGCGCTTTTTCTTGTTTTCTCCGCACAGTGTTTTGTGCGTAATCTGTTTGTGCCACCCGGTTGGGTTGACGTTTATTGCCGTGTCAGACTTGACTAAAGTTCTGTTAAAGTCCTCCTGGTTTCCTGCGCTTGATTCCTTCCTCATCTACACACACCACTCTGACATATAAGCACTCTTTGCAGTACATTAGCCAAAGTGAAAAGCTTACGTCTAGTTCACAAGAAATGAAAAGTAGCTTAAAGCAATTGTCAATTACATAAATGTTCCATGAAGTGAGTATGATGAACATATATTTTTTGGAGGTGAAAATGTACACACACTCTATTATAATTCAGGTACAAACACTCATGGAGTCTACAGAGTATCTAATTCAGGTCTACTACTGTACATAAAGTATATTAAAATACATATTGCGCTTTGGTCCCTACTTTTCATTGGTACTGTATGTGTCTATGGACACATTTGAAACCTATAGTTTTTGTAAGGTGGCTGTATCTCCTGTTGTCACAGTGGACCTCAGAGCACAGTAGTACACAGCAGAGTCAGACAGCTGCACTCTCTGGATCATCAAGGGGACTGATTTTGCTGTGAAATTTAGACGGGCATCAAATCTGTCCTTGAACTCAGTAGCAGCTTCCCCAGGTGAAAATGTATCCCTTCTCAGCATAAATATGGGCTTGCCATTTGCTTGTTGTTTGTACCAAAAGAGATATGGTGATTGATCAGTTGTAATGAATAGACAAGAGAGTGTTGTTGGTTGTCCTTCTAAGACCATTACATCTTCTGTTGGCTGTGTTACATTCTCTTCTGCTCTGCACCCTGAAAATAAAGATAAATATATCTTCACAACATATAATAATAATGTATCTAAATAAAATGAACAAATACACAGAAAGAGACAGATGAACAGAGTGATGTTATACCAAAGCAGCATGCAGCCAGAACATGCAGGATCAGCCAGTTTCTCATGACTAGTCAGTCAGTTTGAAGTGTAAAAGGTAAGGAGCAGAACAATGCTGATCTATCTATCACAGAGCTTTGACACCCTCTGTCCTACTGTTGATGCTTCATGTTGTTCTGTATTACATGCAGTAGTAGACCATGGGGAGGTGTCTGTCTGTATGGCATCCTCTGATTCAGGTGTGTGTTCTTTGTTAGGTTGCCCCCTCAGGTTGACTGTCATACTACACCACCAAGCAGTGTGAATTGTGAGGAGTAACTACAAACGATAATATTTTTGCACTTTGTCATATTCCCAAGTGCTTTTCCACCGATATCAAAATATCTGTCTAAGTGGAATTCAAGACTACTGATATGAAGACAGAGAAACACTAGACCTCCTGGTGATTGCACACAGCACTGGTGTGACCACATTCTCTGATCTCAACCTCTGACATTATGATATCAAATTGTGGTTTGATGTTACATTTTTATCCCTGCTTCATCACAGCATTTTTGGTCTGCAGGTTCTTGTACAGGGTTTTATAGACGTTGTATCACTGGGTATATTCCCTGAGAGCACAGTAGTAGGGATCTGTGTCTGCCAGGGTTAGAATTGTTATGACCAGTTCAGTTGATGTCCGAGACGTTTTGGATGTATATCTCTTATCAGGGACATGTTCACTACCGCTCTGTGATATAGCACCTTTATACAGTAGAAACTGAGGAGCCTGGTTAGGATATTGCCGGTACAAGTAAAGGTCAATATTATTCCTGTTTATTTTGTTCTGCAGGTTTTTGTACAGGGTCTTATATGTATCACTGGTTATAACAATCCCTGAGAGCACAGTAGTAGAGAGATGAGTCTGCCAGGGTTAGGTGTGTTATGATCAGTTCAGTTGATGTCCGGGACGTTGCGGATATATATTTCTTATCAGGGATATGTTCACTACGGCTCTGTGATATGGCAGCTTTATACACAGCTTGGTGTCATAGACTAGACGTAACATAGTAAATGTAAATCCGGAACAGTCAAATAAGTATGGTATGTTATGTTTGGTATGGTTACATAAGACAGATGGTTACTTAAGGCAATAACAAAAGTAGGGTGGTTAGTCGGGGTGGATGGTTGGGCGTATAACGTGAACGTCTAACAACCCTAAAGTAGTGAGTTCAAATCACATCATGGACAATTTAAGCATTTTAGCTAATTAGATAATTTTCTACTACTACTACATTTTAGGTACTTTGCAACGACTTAGAATGTTAGCTAACCCTTCCCCTAACCCTTACCTTAACCCTATAACCTAATTCCTTAACTTAACCCTAATCTTAACCCTAACCCCTAACCCTAACCTAGCTAGCCACCTAACTAGAATTCGTAACATATCATACGTTTTGCAAATTCGTAACATATAATACAAATTATAATTCATAACATATCATACAAAATTGGGTGTCTCAGATTTACATACAGAATAATATGAAATGATCTGAGACCAGGTTGTTATACAGCAGAACTGAGGGGCCTGGTTAGATAATGCAGGTACCAGTAAAGGTAAACATAATTGCAGCTCAGCGTCACAGGTTTTCCCTATGTACTGATTATTTCATTATTTACAGCAGTAATGTGATCCCCAGCAATCTGTCCTGTAAAGATAATTTAGAAACAAAATCAATAGACATTAGTTTAAAAAAGTAATTACCATCAACAATACAGGCTCATTTACAAAATGTTGTAAGGCTCACCTGTACAAAATGTAGAGAACATCCAGATTAAACCAAATAACATCATCATTCTACTACTATATGCTGGACCAACTAATTCACAGAAATGTGTATCCTGTAATCATATGTACAGTTTGAATACGATCATTCCTTTAGATCCTCCCTTTGACATAAAACCAATTCAATGATGGCTCTTAATGAAGTGTGGTGGTGGTGATGAAGGTTTGGTTTACTAAATGACAGTAAAGATGGCATCAATGGCATTTATATGAGAGACTGTTTAGAATGTTTAGTCAGATGAAATATTCTGATTTTCATGACATATTTATTTCATTTCCAAATTAAAAGTCTGTTCACTGGTAGTTGAACAAGCAAATAACTTTCATATTAAAAGAAGGGAATATAATGGATGGAAGATAAGATCTATTCAGACTCAGGTTCTATGGTTTCTAGGGGTCACAGATTCAAGTTCTCTGTGTTTGTATTGTCAAGATAGGTTTTTGTACAGTTTTCTGGGGTTTCCTGTCACTGTGGGCTTCAGACCACAGTAGTACAGAGCAGAGTCTGTCACTTCAGCAGAGGAGATTTCCAGATCCACACGGTTGTCCTCCTTTTCATGTGTGAGGGACCATTTTGTACTATCAGTGTTGGTTATGAACCCAGAGTAGTCCAGTATGAGGAACTGTGGAGAGGATCCAGGGTGCTGGCGATACCATAACAGACTGTTGGTTAATGAGCTGTTGTATCTACAGGAGAGTTTAACACTACTACCCTCCATAACATCCACTACATCTCTGTCTGGAGTAATTATGTCTTCAACACTTGCACCTGTAAAAAATAACAACATGGATTACAGAGTCAATGTAGACAGCGTACAGTATATCCACACTTGGTGTTTCAAAGTGTATTAGCACTTGATATTGATAATACCATATTGTAATGAACACTGAACAGTGTACATTCTGTTAGTACACATTCAGTTAAAGGAGAGTGAATTCTAACCTACAAGTACACACAAAAACAAGCAGCATCATAGCCACTGGGTGTTAGACAGAGACTCATTTCTAAATTGAAATAAAAATGTATTGTTGTAACTTTCAAAACAGAATACATGACACTACTTTGAAAGCATTATATAACTTACCTATTGCTGAGAACATTATAATTGACCAGATGAACAACATAGCTGGGGATGGAAGTCAAACTGACTAATTTCACAACAGAAGCTGAATACTCCAAACCAACTTCATCTGCAAGGTTTTCAGTTGATCATTTCTGCTTAGTTTACCTACAAGCTCCACCCCAAAGTACAGTTGCTCTAAATATACTCAATCTCTGCTTTCTTTCCCTCTCCTCTACACTCCTCTGTCCCATTGACATATATCTCCTCTCCTCCTCTCTCATCTCATCTGCTCTCCTCTCATTTCTCTTCTCCTCCTCTCTCTTCTCGGAAGTTTACATACACTTAGGTTGAAGTCATTAAAACTCTTTTTTCAACCATTCCACCAATGTTTTGTTAACCAACTATAGTTTTGGCAAGTCGGTTAGGACATCTACTTTGTGCATGACACAAGTCATTTTTCCAACAATTGTTTACAGACAGATTATTTCACTTATAAATAACTGTATAACAATTCCAGTGGGTCAGAAGTTTACTTACACTAAGTTGACTGTGCCTTTAAACAGTTTGGAAAACTCCAGAAAATGATGTCATGGCTTTAGAAGCTTCTGATAGGCTAATTGACATAATTTGAGTCAATTGGAGGTGTACTTGTGGATGTATTTTAAGGCCTACCTTCAAACTCAGTGCCTCTTTGCTTGACATCATGGGAAAATCTAAAGAAATCAGCCAAGACCTCAGAAAAAAATGGTATACCTCCACAAGTCTGGTTCATCCTTGGGAGCAATTTCCAAATGCCTGAAGGTACCACGTTCATCTGTACAAACTATAGTATGCAAGTATAAACACCATGGGACCACGCAGCCGTCATACCGCTCAGGAAGGAGACGCATTCTGTCTCCTAGAGATGAACGTACTTTGGTGCAAAAAGTGCAAATCAATCCCAGAACAACAGCAAAGGACCGTGTGAAGATGCTGGAGGAAACAGGTACAAAAGTATCTATATCCACAGTAAAAATAGTCCTATATCGACATAACCTGAAAGGCCTCTCAGCAACGAAGAAGCCACTGCTCCAAAACCGCCATAAAAAAGCCAGACTACGGTTTGCAATTGCACATGGGGACAAAAATCGTACTTTTTGGAGAAATGTCCTCTGGTCTGATGAAACAAAAATAGAACTGTTTGGCCATAATGACCATCGTTATGTTTGGAGGAAAATGGGGGAGCTTGCAAGCCGAAGAACACCATCCCAACCATGAAGCACGGGTGGCATCATCATGCTGTGGGGATGCTTTGCTGCAGGGGGGACTGGTGCACTTCACAAAATAGATGGCATCATGAGGAAGGAAAATTATGTGGATATATTGAAGCAACATCTCAAGACATCAGTCAGGAAGTTAAAGCTTGGTCGCAAATGGGTCTTCCAAATGGACAATGACCCCAACCACACTTCCAAAGTTGTGGCAAAATGGTTTAAGAACAACAAAGTCAAGGTATTGGAGTGGCCATCACAAAGCCCTGACCTCAATCCTATAGAAAATGTGTGGGCAGAAATGAAAAAGCATGTGCAAGCAAGGAGGCCTACAAACCTGATTCAGTTACACCAGCTCTGTCAGGAGGAATGGGCAAAAATTCACCCAACTTATTGTGGGAAGCTTGTTTAAGGCTACCCGAATAGTTTGACCCAAGTTAAACAATTTAAAGGCAATGCTACCAAATATTAATTGAGTGTATGTAAACTTCTGACCCACTGGGAATGTGATGAAATAAATAAAATCTTAAATAAATCATTCTCTCTACTATTATTCTGACATTTCACATTCTTAAAATAAAGTGGTGATCCTAACTGACCTAAAACAGGGCATTTTTACTAGGATTAAATGTCAGGAATTTAAATGTATAAAGAGTTTAAATGTATTTGGCTAAGGTGTATGTAAACTTCCGACTTCAACTGTATGTCCTCTCTTCAGTGATACAGAATCTCTCAATCCTTCCACTGGGTTGTGTAGGAGGTAGATTCCCTCCATTATTGTATGAATCAAATATGAAAGGTTGTAATCCTGAGTTGGAACTGCCAGATAATAAAAAGATCTGAAACAGTTGACAACAAGGATTTTTATCCCCTGCTTCTGTACAGTTCTTGTACAGTGTTTCCGGGTAAACTGTCACTGTGGGTTGCAGAGCACAGTAGTACACAGTAGAGTTTGTCCCTTCATCAGAGGAGATCTCCAGATCCACACGTTCAGCCACTTTGCCAACGTTAACTGACAGTCAGGGATATGGGCGTTCTGCAGTAACTATTGTCTCAGCAGATGATGAATACACTGAAATGAGGAGGAGCAGATGTGGGATATTGGTGATGCCATAAGACACTGTCTCCAACAGATACTGTGTAGTTGCAGGAAAGCTTGACACTGACAACATGTATCACATCCTCCTCAAGACTGTAGGAGAAAATTCCATCCCCAGAACTATCACCTGCAGAAAACTAACATGTGAAATAAAAGTTATATTTGTCCGGTCAAAGCTTGTGTGTTGTTTTTCCAAGCTTGTAATGAAGTAATTACACATTATCATTACTGTTAAAAACATTTTGCTTGCCCACAAATGTTAAAAAGAACAAGGTGAACCAGCACGGCATGGTTAATGTTAGAGAGATAAGATTACAATGCAATGAGGAAAGACCTTCATGCCATTTTGAGTGTCTCCTTTTCATTCTCATACTAGCTCCTCCTCTAAACACAATACAACTCATTTTTCAGAGGATCTTCTGAAGTGAATGAATAACAGGAAGAAAAATGCCTTTTCAAATATTCTTTAGTTTTTATGTAATACAAGTTTCCCCTATTATGCAAAATGTGTGTTGACTTACTCTAACAACAGGTGTAACTGCAATAATCTAATCTACATACCTCTGTTGCCTGATAATGATCTGTTGTCAGGAAATGACTAACAAGCTAATCTAAAACAAGTCATTTATCAGTGTGATAAATGAGACTGTGTATTGCTGGGCGTCATTCAGGGCACAGAAGGCCACAGAATTCAGACAGTTTCTACTCTATACTGGGAAAGTAGTGCTGAGAAGAATCTTGTCTAAAGAACAGTACACACACTTCATGGCCTTCAGTGTTGCCATGTGCATTTTGGTTTATCCTCAACTTTCTTCAATCCACAGGGCCTATGCTCATGCTTTACTGAACTTCTTTGTGGAGCAGGGAAGGGTTTTGTATGGTGACACATTTCTCGTGTATACTGTTCACTCCCTCCTACACCTCACTGCTGATGCTGAAGAACATGGCTGCCTTGACAACAGTTGTGCTTTCAAGTTTGAGAACTACTTGCAACAACTAAAGAAGATGGTCCGTTCAGGGAGGCGGCCACTTGTGCAAATTTGTGAAAGAGTGCAAGAATGCACAGTTAGAGCTTCTCCCCGCCAACAGGTCATCAAAATGAGACAGCCAAACAATGCCTACATACTTAATGATAGGTCATGCTGTGAGGTAGTGAGCCAAGAAGATGCCTCTGATACTTACCTCTGCAGGGTGTTTCAGCATCTGGAATCTTACATGCTGAGTCCTTGTGACTCAAGACTGTATTGGACTTTCCGCACCACTACGAGGAGCGCACAAATGCTGTAGCAAGCCCCATTTACCTACAGCCAAGTTCACAAGCTGTATTAGTTTTGCAAACTATCTTGGCTGGTAAATCAAGAGACTGAACAGTGTGGAATTGGTGTTTAGTTTTTCTGCACAGGGCACACAGCGTTATTATGTTGTACATTTTGTAAAAGAGAACACTGTTGAAGTTGTACCAGAGCAGTGGGTGGAGAAGAGAGATGGGGTGAGTTGATCAGTTAAATGGTTTTCAGGCAAAGAGATGGATAAATAGTTAACTTTAAACAGTGTCTCATATCTTGCAGGTCCTGTGTTGCTACTGGCCAAGAAATGCCAGCGCAACAATGATTAAGAGAGGAGACCGTCCTGACAAAATATTATGGGAGAAGTACAGAATTTCCATATTTTCATCCACTGGTAAAATAATATTTTACTGTATCCATCCACTCCCGTTTATATTGCAATGTATGCTTGGTTATGTGGCTCTGGAGCAGGCTGCATCAGTTGAACATACTCCTATACATAAGGCTAGTTCCAACGTAGAATATGTTCTAAGCCAGGCGTTAACCTGTGTCACCACCTGGTTGTAAGTAATAGCTTTTGCTACGCCAGGGTGTAAAAACTAAGTGTAATGTGGGGTAGACGTATAGTATAAATCTATAACTAGTTTCCAAGGTAAGTGTTTCATGACTAGTCATGTCGCATCTTGTTCAATTTTCTAAATCATTATGTCGGGCGTAAGTAGGCCCAATTTATCTCTTACACCTTATTAGCGTCTGGTGCAACCCACTCCTGGTCAGTAGAGTCAGTAACTTCCCCCTCTTACGTACTATATGTATTTGTTGAAAGTGAATTATGTGAATTACAAATACTCAATACCCTGTTTTGCCAGTGTTAATAGGAAAGTATTTATGACTATGTTTATTGCACGTACAGACAATTACTCTGTGGCAGAGCAACGAGACAAACGGGGGGTTGACACCTCCAATGTTGAATCTGACGAGGAACCAGCGAAGAGGCCGGTGACTAAACCAATCACATTGTCACGATCGTCGAACACAGAGGACCAAGGCGCAGCGTGGAATGCGAACATACTTATTTATTTATTTATTTATTCCACACGAAACAAGAACAACAAAACGATACGTGACGTCCTTGGCAAATAACACTAACCATACACGGAACAAGATCCCACAACACCCTGTGGAAAACAGGCTGCCTAAGTATGGTTCCCAATCAGAGACAACAAGCAACAGCTGATTCACGTTGCCTCTGATTGAGAACCACACCGGCCAACATAGAAACAAATGAACTAGATAAACAACCTAGAACACAAAACACATAGAAACAACACACCCTGGCTCAACATAACAGAGTCCCAGAGCCAGGGCGTGACACACATTCCGTGTAGAGCCACCTGGTGAGGATTTCTTAACTGCTCTTATTCCATTGTTTGTAGTACATGCATCAGGAAGTAGATGAAATAAATGTCATTTTTTTTGTATTGTGCTTCGTAAGATGATGATGGAAGTGAAGCACTCCAGAAAAAGACAAATGAACCCAGACAAGCCCAGCTTACAGTGTCCCAGCTTCCACCAGCCCCTAGTGGTAAGATCCTGCATTAGGCTACTAGGTCATTAAATGTATAATCAGCAAGTTGATGGTAAGTTTGACACACATTTAAGTATGTGGGTGAAGAAAAGCTTACAGTTAATGCAAGTACTAGTCTTAAATTGTAGAAATGGCATGAAATCATAACCTAATGACAGTTGATATGACAAGAAATGACCACACCCATCTGATCTTGACATACTTGATTATTAGTCACGTTACCAAAGTGTAACAGTTCTTTTTTTTCTTTTTTCTTAGCAACTTCAAGAGCCAGTATCTTTGAAAAGACCCTACAAGATACATAATGTTTCAAGTCTGATGAACGAGCATACTTTCTCAAAGTTCTGTTCCCACCAACTGTATGGGATGGACAGGAAAATCTGTCAAGTCTGTTCTGTAAATGTGGTAACGGTTGACATCTGTGATATTCTCTGAAGTTGCAGATGCAGAGGACTTGAGGCCATGTGCCACCTCAAGCCAGAGCAACAGTAAGTGTCTGGTTGTAGTTTGTTAGGGTAAACAATTGAATTGTATAAAGTATTATAGCTTTACAAACCTTTCAAAGCCACTCAATAGAATACAATTACCATCACATTTTTGCATATTAAGTTATTTAAAGTCGTATTACTACTTTGTGAATGCTGTTAGAACTTTCCAAATACTTGTGGTGCTGTGCATGGGTGAAACTTGTACTTACAACAGTAGTGAAATCACCATATTCTTCTGGGGTAAAACACAAGTGTGATGCCATGTTTGTAATTATCTGTATGTATTTGCCATCAAACTAAAAGCATTATTTAAAACAAAAAATGATGCTTAGCATTTATTTTTGTTGGGATTCATTAACCTTCCCATTGAGCTCCTGACTGACATCCCTTCACTTTTGGTTCTGTGCCAGTTTCAAAAGTATGTCTTAATTTTTTTTACTTCTGTTTTCTCAGTTAGTCCAAGTGGCAGCCAGGAAGAAGCTGGCCAAGACAGAGCATCAGAATCAGGTTTCTTTAGCCATCAAGATATTGATCTCGAAATCGTAAATGTAGAACGTTTAAATAACAGCATGATTTTTTACTTATATTTTAGACCAAGAGCTGCCATCCCTGCTTGATGAGCCTGTGGCTTCTGAGATGCCCACTGGATACATTAAAGGTATATTATGCTAGCCTATATGTTACAAAATGTTGCTTCTCTTGTATTATCAACATAAATTCCAAATTGTATGGCTGTCAGCAGCTATATGGTTATCAATACTACTAAAATATATGAAGGGTGGATATTTTGATAGAGGTATTTCACATGGCCTTGATACATGTCCTGCCTGGTACTCATGGCTTGTATCGTCACGCTGCTTGCAGCTAAACTGTTGAGTCTTTATTATTTTCCAGATCTTCAAGTAGTGGAGATAATGGTGAAACTGGAGATGATCCGTACAGAGTTCAAGCCTGCTCTGAACCAAGTTATGGAGGCCATAGAGGCCCGGTAGCCAAAGGAGTCGGAATTCTTGGGGCAACTTGAAATGCTGCAAAACCCTGCAGAAACAAATGAGGAACTGAAGGATATCTGTGAAACACTTAAAGACTCCTACTATCGAAAGAAAATGGTAGGGATGGCAATTTAAAATTAATCTGTTTGTGAAAAATGTGAAATCTACGTCAAGTATTTTAACAGCAATTGACAAAAATAAGTTAGCTGTTTATCCAGAGCCACTTGAATGCGACCAGATTTGAGAGAAGATTGCAACCTGCAATATTATTGAATCCTAATATCTTAATGTCAACGAAATACAGTTGTCATATATGCCATATGCCTATTTAGTGTTTGGATTGATTTCCCAATTAACACTTAACTTATCTTAAGAAGAAACGATCATCCCTCTGCCTGTTTACACAAGTTTTAGCCCATGATTACATGACACACTACAAAAATGATTTCTCATTACTATTTATTGTTTTTTAGTAGATAGTATAATTGGTCAAGTGATGGTAAGTCAAATGGGTGTTCATTAACATTTCAAATGAATTAAATCAGTAACAAGGCAGTTACAAACTAAATGTGAAATCCTACCACGTGTTAAGATCAGAGAGAGAGGACAAAGGAAAAGTGAAGGAGAGAGGTCTCATGGCCAAAACTGCCTATGAGGGACGAGAGGGACAATACCCAACCTCTGTCTCAGCCAGCATAGGTGGAAAAGTAGTGATATGACATGGAATGTACCATTTCAATTATTTTTCACAACATAGGAGCGTCCCTGAAAGCACACCCCAAGGCTACCTACCAAGAGGTAGATGACAAAATAGCAGATGCTCTCAAACATGCACCAGCTCGGCTCAAGAGTAAGAGAAAGGTATGTTTAAAAATAACACTTTTTTTTACTTCACTTTAATCCAGTCGGTCAGTATAGCTAAATTATTGTGCTAGTACAAAAGGAATGTAGCAGGGAGTTGACATTAAACCAGCATTTTGATCATTTGTTTACGGAAAATAATGACCAATTTGTGTTATTGTGACTTCCAGGAGCGGGTCGAGGAAGCGACAGTGGATGAGGATAGAGCAGCAGCACCTGAATAAACATAACATAGTTATTCACTTTTAGCTTTAAGCAGTTTTACAGTTCTTGATTGGAATGCAGTGTTCATGTTTTTACTGACTTTTTATTTTGTGAGATTATTGCTGTGATTTTGTTTATGAATTTATTGTGATACAGTTAAAGTAAAATAAAATAAAAGATAACTTCTTATTTTCTGGAATTTTGCATATTTCGTCAGTGGACACCTACCGACAGGATACTGTGTATGTGTTCAGGGTAGATTAAATGACGTGTCTTAAGGGGCCTCCCGAGTGGCACAATGGTCTAAGACACTGCAATGCAGTGCAAGCTGCGTTGCTACAGATGCTGGTTCGATACCTGTCTGTGTCGCAGCCAGCCGCGACCGGGAGACCCATGAGGTGACGCACAATTGGCCCTGCTGGGATGTCCTTGTCCCATCGCACTGTAGCGACTCCTGTGGCAGGCCAGGCGCATGTACACCGTAACGTTGCTAAACGTTTGGGCTGATGAGTGGTCGGTGGAGACTGGAAAAGGAAGGGAGCAGAGGACGAGGGGACACTCCGGAGAGTCCACAATGAAAAACTGGATATCCTCCCATAACCCCCCCGCCACCCGGATACGCACGGGGACAGTGCGCCGGGTGATAAAGCCTGACCCCAACGGCCGGCTGTCCAGGCCCATGACTGGAACCGGCTCGGAGAGGGACAGTAACGGAACACGCCAGCACCGCATCCATCAGATATCCCGCGGCCCCAGAATCGACCTGGTGAGGCAGACGCCTCTGCCTCACCATCCTGGACAAGCGCGCCGCCCCCAGCTGCATAGCCTTCTCTTGAGGCGTCTCCTCCCTGAATCGGTGGAAAGCCTCCGGGTTGACAGGGGAACACGGAGGCGCGCCTTGCGTCATCCCTCTCTCATGCACCCTCTCACGACGCAGATTGTTTAACCGCACTGAGAGTTCGACGAGGCCGTCCAGTCGCTCAGGCAGCTCCCTGAAGGAGAGTTCGTCCTTCATCCCCTCCGATATCCCCTGCACGTAAAGGACGACCAGGGCGGCCTCCTCCCATCCTGCCTCTCAAGCCCGGGTCCGGAATGCCACAGAGTAGTCCGCCAACGAACCGTCACCCTGCCCACAAGCCGTGAGCCGCCTCACGGCCTCGTGCACCGACACCACCCGAGAGGTGTCAAACACCTTGCGTAGCTTCCGGGTGAATTGGTAGGAGTCAGAGCACGCCGGAGTTTGGCTCTCCCACTCCGCGGTAGCCCAGGAAAGGGCCCGACCCGTCAACACAGCGATGATGTAGGCCACCCTGCCATGCTCCATCGGGAAGGAGGAGGGTTGTAGGCTGAATACCAGGGAACACTGGGTGAGGAATTCCCTGCAGCCCTCCGGACGTCCGTCATACCTCTCCGAAGGTGGTAGGCGGGGTTCCCGTGATGTCGCAGGTGAGACTGGAGATGACGCTGCCGCGGCTTCCGCTCCGCCGGCTGCCGAGGCTGGTCGGGTGTCCACCCGGCTCTGCACGGCGATCGTCAGCTGCCGGAGATTCTCGGTTATCTGCTGCAGGTTGCGGTCGTGTTGGTTCAGCATACAGTTTACATACACTAAGTTGACTGTGCCTTAAAACAGCTTGGAAAATTCCATAAAATGATGTGATGGCTTTAGAAGCTTCTGATAGGCTAATTGACATCATTTGAGTAAATTGGAGGTGTAACTGTGGATGTATTTCAAGGCCTACCTTCAAACTCAGTGCCTCTTTGCTTGACATCATGGGAAAATCAAAAGAAATCAGCCAAGACCTCAGAAAAAAATTGTAGACCTCCACAAATCTGATTCATCCTTGGGAGCAATTTCCAAACGCCTGAAAATACCACGTTCATCTGTACAAACAATAGTACGCAAGTACAAACACCATGGGACCACGCAGCCATCATACCTGTCACAACTTCCGCCTAGGCTGCCTCCCCTCCTTGTTCGGGCAGGTTTTGGCGTTCGTCGTCACTGGCTTACTAACCACTGCCGCTCCATATATTATCTTTCCATTTGTCTTGTCTTGTCAGTTACACACACCTGGTATATCCCCTCGTTAGTCTGTGTATAAGTGTTCCCTCTGCCCCCTTGTCCTTGTGGATGATTGTTTTATGTGAAGATGAGTGTAGCTCGGTTGAGCTACCCGTACTTTGTATTGCCGGGGTTATTTCTCCCCGTGTAGCTCAGTTGGTAGAGCATGGCGCATGCAAAGCCAGGGTTGTGGGTTTGATTCCCACAGGGGGCCAGTATGAAAAAAAATGTATGCACTCACTAACTGTAAGTCGCTCTGGATAAGAGCATCTGCTAAATGACTAAAATGTAAATGTAAATGTGTGCCTGTATTGTGTTCCAGTGCGCCTGTATTACGCCCTGTGCTGTTGACTCTATCCAGCGTAACTGTGTACTACGGAATAAACTCTGTATTCAGTGATTTACCCTCCTGCGCCTGACCTCCTGCACCTTGCTATGGAGTCAGCGGGAGAGGAGCGCATGCCCGGAGTCGTGGCACGGGTCCAGGAGCATTTAACGATGCTAGCCAGCTTGGGAGAAGCGATGGATTGGGTTCTTCAGGTCGTCCAACGCCTGGAGAGGAGAGGACCCGATCTGTCGAGACCAGCTGGCCAACCGGATCCAGCCACCCACACCCCAGCACCCAGAGGGAGCCAGATATCCCGACCACAGGAGTTCGATGGGACGGCGGCTCTGTGCCAAGGATTCCTCCTCCAACTGGAGCTCTACTTCTCCAGCATCAGGCCGGCCCCATCGGAGAGGGAGAAGGTGTCCGCCCTTGTCTCCTGCCTCTCGGGGAAAGCCTTGGAGTAGGCCAAAGCGGTCTGGAACGAAGGAGGAGCCGCGTTGGAAAACTACGGGGAGTTCGCTCGCCTCTTTCAGGCTGTCTTTGATCACCCGCCCGAAGGTCGAGAGGCGGGCGAGCGGCTGGTTCACCTGATGCAGGGGACGAGGACTGCACAGGACTTCGCCTTGGGACTCTGGCTGCGGGGTCCGGGTGGAACGAGCGGGCCTTATTATCGACCATTTCCGGTGCCATCTGCGGGAGGATGTCCAACGGGAGCTAGCCAGCTGGGACACCATGTTGTCCTTCGCGCAACTGATAGACATGGCCATCCGTTTGGACAACCAGCGTAAAACCGTAAAAAAGCCAGACTACGGTTTGCAACTGCACATGGGGACTCTACTTTTTAGAGAAATGTCCTCTGGTCTGATGAAACAGAAATAGAACTGTTTGGCCATAATGACCATTGTTATTTTGGGAGGAAAAAGGGGGCAGCTTGCAAGCCGAAGAATACCATTCCAACCACGACGCACGGGGGTGGCAGCATCATGCTGTGGGGGTGCTTTGCTGCAGGAGGGACTGGTGCACTTCACAAAATAGATGGCATCATGAGGAAGGAAAATGATATGGATATATTGAAGCAACATCTCAAGACATCAGTCAGGAAGTTAAAGCTTGGTCGCAAATGGGTCTTGGAAATGGACAATGACCCCAAGTATACTTCCAAAGTTGTGGCAAAATTTCTTAAGGTCAACAAAGTCAAGGTATTGGAGTGGCCATCACAAAGCCCTGACCTCAATCTTACAGAAAATGTGTGGGCAGAACTGAAAAAGCGTGTGCGAGCAAGGAGGCCTACAATCCTGACTCAGTTACACCAGCTCTGTCAGAAGGAATGGGCCAAAATTTACCCAACTTATTGTCGGAAGCTTGTGGAAGGCTACCCGAAACGTTTGACCCAAGTTAAACAATTTAAAGGCAATGCTACCAAATACTGTATTTTATTTCATTTAACTTTTATTTCTTATACTTTTTGTTCCTTTTTTTAAAGGAGGTATCTGAAGAGATATCCTTGACTTGTACATATTGTCGCTACAATCATTGGATAATGTACGTGCTGGGTAGAAATATGAGGGGGAGACGGTCATGACCCTCTCCTCAGACCTTTTGGCAGAAAGCCCAGAATATGTTCTATAAGTTAAGATAGGAGACGGTGCCAGTCACATGTAGGAACCAAACGTTAATGATGAATTAATTATGAATAATGAATAAGCTAAATCATGCAAATATAACTTGTCTGTGTAAGCAGTATATAAGAGCACTAACGGGTCTGCCCCGGGGGAGCTCCTGACAGACGTGTACTACTTGGTGCATTAAGTTTGTTTGAACCTTTCCAGCTTGCTGATAATAACAAATTATTCATTTAAGATTGACTTCAGGTGTCCCTGGTGGTAATATCCACGACAGAGGTTTGGGAATATTTGTAATTTATCTCTTATCTTATCTTGTACACTTCTTTTTATAAATCTGCTTTTGAGTGTTCAGCGATAAAATACTGTAGTTCTTCTGACTGGCATGGAAGTGACTAGTCTTCAGAGGTGTGAGGATAATTATAAGTATGAAACTAGGGCATTTGATGCAGTGGTATTATATAAAACAAGTATAATTTATCTGGACATCAAGTTACCGCTCTCTGAGAGTCTGTCACTTCAGCAGAGGAGATATCCAGATCCACAAGGGTTCTCTCATTGTTCAATTTAACAGACAGCCGAGGGTATGGAGGAGTAGATTTTACTACAGAAGGGTTTGACGACACTCCAGTGAGGAGGAGGAAGATGGGAGCTGATCCAGGGTCCTAGAGATACCATTGAAGAGAGACTGCAGATGAGTAGGTGCATGGAAGTGTAATATTGCTACCTGCTGGAGCATACATCTCTTCTCTGATTGGCTCAATGGTCTGACCATTACTGTCATCTGCAAGAGATGCAAAATATTTTACTCTGTTATAGATCTATTTTCAAAGCATGAACACTTAGTTTAGATTCTAAATAACACCAATAAAATTGACATATTATAGTAGATTACTTACATGCAAATACTAAAAGCAAAATAAATGTGGGGATTGACATTGTGGCTGAAACTGGAAGTTAAAACGATAACACACAGCACAACAAGATTTGCGTATACTAAATAAACATCCTCCTCCTTCTAGTTTTGAATGGACCATCTCTTCTCAAACCTTTGAAGCCCCACCCCAAAATACAGAGAATTGTCAGATTGTCAGACTTCTTGCTGCTGCTTGATGCCACTGTCACATTCTCAAAATACAGGGCTGCACTGAAATATGATTACCTTTGTCTCCCTCTATTGGATATTGTATAAAACGGTGTTATTTATCTCTATTTATTTTCTTGATTTTAACGCAACAGAGTTGGCAGAAGGACCTGACCTGTCTACAGTGATGTCATAGGGGAAAACATTGCTCTGAGCAAGATATGCAAGATATTCATTTATTCAACATGAGGCAATTCATTAATTAACAGTTTATTTTATTTTCCTATTTAAATCTAAAATCTGAAGTATATATCAGCAACACAATCAGATAGCCTTAATGAGTTTCTGTCACTTTTCCATTCAACATTTTTGTAATTGTTTTTTATTGCTTATTGAAAATATTTCATTGCTCATGTTCAGTGTATGTAGAGTATGTTTTGTCTATACACAGTAATGATGAAATTCAAAATAAGGTGATGTCTAGGGGATGTCAGTTTTAGTCAGTTCAGGTTTTTGTACAGTGTGCACATGTTTCCTGTCGCTGTGGGCTGCAGAGCACAGTAGTACAGAGCAGAGTCAGATAGCTGCAACCTCTGGATCGTCAAGGGGACGGATTGTGTCTTTGCATTTATACTTGCATCAAATTTCTCCTTGAACCCTGCAGCCTTGTCTTCAGATCCAAAAGAATAACGGGTCAGTATATGTTTAGGGAAGTCATTTGCTTCTTGTTTGTACCAATATAGATATGCATTATTAGTACTGGTGTTATATTGACAACTCAGTGTTACCAGTCCTCCTTCTGTAGCAATCACACCTCCTGGTTGCTGTTGCACATTGTCTCCAGTGCACTCTGGGGGAAAAAGAAAGACTGAGTGATAATGTGAAAGATTATAGAAATTATAAAACTATAGTTAAAATTAGTTAAAGATGAGATAAACCAATGAGAGAAAAAGTTCCATCATACCGAAGCACAATACAGCAAGAACCAGCCAGATGATCAGACAGAGTACCATGGCTATGCAGAACACACAGAGAGTGACTGTGAGTTACAGTAAGAGGTAGAGATCCTCTCTCTCTCTTCCATGTCCATCTCAGCCTGTATATCACCATCAACTGACAGACATGAAGGAGGAGCCTGTTCAGAGAGAGGAAAGATTGAATGGAAATCTATGGGTCAATATTTCCTTGTCAATTTTATATTAGCACTCTTTGCAGTACAATAGACAAAGTGTAAAGCCTACACGTCTAGCTCACATGAAATGGAAAATAGCGTAAAGGAATTGTATGAAGTGGGTATGACTAATCTATCTGGGGAAAAAAAAATTTTTTAACGTACACATTTTCTATTATAATTCAGGTACAAACACTCATGTATCCTACAGAGTATCTAATTCAGGTCTACTACTGTTCATACAGTATATTGAAATACATATTGTGCTTTGGTCCCAACTTTTCATTGGTACTGTATATCCTGTTGTCACAGTGGGCCTCAGAACACAATAGTACACAGCAGAGTCAGACAGCTGCACCCTCTGGATTGTCAAGGGGAATGATTTGGTAATGGAACTGAGATGGGCATCAAATCTCTCCTTGAATTATTCATCAAAATCCCCTGGTCCAATGACATCCTTCCGCAAAACATATTCAGGGTAGTAATTTGTGGATTGCATGTACCAGAAGAGAGATGGAGCTGATAAACTGGTTTAATATTCACTGCTGAGAGACACGTCTTCTCCTTCATAATCAGTCTCTTCTCTCTTTGACTGAGTAACTCTGTCTGGAAACAAAGAAGAATATATTTGTGAAAAATGTCAGGATTCCAGTAACATCAGAATATTGAGAAAAAGATAATGAGAGCTGTATCCTACCAAAGAGAAGTGCAGCAAGAACAACAGAGGTCCACAGCCAATGTCCCATACTTATCATAGGATACAAAGACCAAGACAAACTGATGTTACAATATAGAAACTGGTGTGCTCTCTTGATTCCTGTCTTTGTAGCAGCACAGGCCTAGACCATGCAGCACAGCACAGAGACAAGTCAAATAGACAAGTCATTTCAGAGTAGAAAGCAACACTCACTTGGTACTGTGGCCCCCTTGTGGTTGATGCTGGTTTTTACATTACTCCACACAATACTGAATATAACTTTTTTCTCCTGACTTAATCTAGTTAGACACTACTAGCTGTGTATGTTTGAATCCATGAGATATTTTAATGGCATTTTATTGTCTCTTACATCTACAATTAGAGCTGAATTGGAAGAGGGAGCTCTATTGGCATCAACAATGACTTACTGTATAATCATCATCATCATCATCACTATGATTATCATCATCTGCTACCACTAGTCTTGGTATCAGGGAGGTAGTGAGAAGGTTACTGTGTCAATTTCAAAGTGGTGTTGTATACTGTACAGACAGGTGTACTGTCATTGTGTAGCTCAGTATGTTTTTGTAAGTGGGCTGTATATCATGGTGTCACAGTGGGCTTCAGAGCACAGTAGTACACAGCAGAGTCAGACAACTGCAACCTCTGAATCGTCAAGGGGACAGAGCTAGATGTGAAATTCAGCCTGGAATCAAACCTCTTCTTGAACTCATCACTATTGCTCCCTTCTGAATAACGATCTCTTCTCAGGACATACTGAGGAGAGTCCCTAGTTAACTGGATGTACCAGAAGAGATCAGGAGATGGACTACTGCTAGTGTAGTTACAGCTGAGTGTTACCAGTCCTCCTTCAAGGGCAGTAACATGTCCACTCTGCTGGTCAACAGACTCTTCACCTTTGTAATCTGAAAAATATTTGGGATTTTATAATACATAATAGGCTAAGGTTCAGAGAATGAGAATGGAGAAAGGAGAAGCACTAATGTACCAAAATAGCATGCAGCCAGGATAAGTACAGTATTCCTAAGCCAATTTGCTATTATGATTCATGCATAGAGGAAGAATAGACTGTTACAGACTTTATGTTCAATCCACTGTAGCTGAGAAGTCTCATTATTGTGGGGCTCTGCAGTAGGGGAGGAGCTTACGGTATATTCAATTGTTTAGTTTAACTGCCAAAGGAATTCCTTTTTAAATGTGATATATTTGGTACCATGAAATATCTCCTTTAAAGAATGTTATCTTCTTCTCCAAGTCCTTTGAAAATTCGAATTTGGCAGTTGTTATGGGCCTTGGAGAAATATATGTTATGCTCAGGCCAAATTGTGCTAATCTGACGAATAAAATAAAATCATATATCCAGTAAGGGTTTGCACAAAATCAGAAAGAAAGGAATAGACCAACTGGCAAGTGTCTTCACTGACATTTTCAACCTCTCCCTGTCTGAGTCTGCAATACCAACATGTTTCAAGCAGACCACCATAGTCCCTGTGCCCAAGAACACTAAGGTAACCTGCCTAATTGACTACCGACCCGTAGCACTCACGTCTGTAGCCATAAAGTGCTTTGAAAGGCTGGTCATGGCTCACATCAACACCATTATCCCAGAAACCCTAGACCCACTCCAATTTGCATACCGCCCCAACAGTTCCACAGATGATGCAATCTCTATTGCGCTCCACACTGCCCTTTCACACCTGGACAAAAGGAACACCTACGTGAGAACGCTATTCATTGACTACAGCTCAGCGTTCAACACCATAGTGCCCTCAAAGCTCAGCTAAGGACCCTGGGACTAAACTAAGCTAAGGACCCTGGGACTAAACACCTCCCTCTGCAACTGGATCCTGGACTTCCTGACGGGCCGCCCCCAGGTGATAAGGATATGTAACAACACATACACCATGCTGATCCTCAACACGGGGGCCCCTCAGGGGTGCGTGCTCTGTCCCCTCCTGTACTCCCTGTTCACTCATGACTGCATGGCCAGGCAGGACTCCAACACCATCATTAAGTTAGCCGATGACACAACAGTGGTAGGCCTGATCACCGACAACAACGATACACCCTATAGGGAGTAGGTCAGAGACCTGGCCGTGTGGTGCCAGGACAACAACCTCTCCCTCAACGTGATCAAGACAAAGGAGATGATTGTGGGCTACAGGAAAAAGAAGAGGACCAAGCACGCCCCCATTCTCATAGACAGGGCTGTAGTGGAACAGGTTGCGAGCTTCAAGTTCCTTGGTGTCCACATCACCAACAAACTAACATGGTCCAAGCACACCAAGACAGTCGTGAAGAGGGCACGACAAAACCTATTCCCCCTAAGGAGACTGAAAAGATTTGGCATGGGTCCTCAGATCCTCAAAAGGTTCTACAGCTGCACCATCGAGAGCATCATGACTGGTTGCGTCACTGCCTGGTGTGGCAACTGCTCGGCCTCCGACCGCAAGGCACTACAGAGGGTAGTGCGTACGGCCCAGTACATCACTGGGGCCAAGCTTCCTGCCATCCAGGACCTCTTTACCAGGCGGTGTCAGAGGAAGGCCCTAAAAATTGTCAAAGACTCCTGTCAACATAGTCATAGACTGTTCTCTCTGCTACGGCACGGCAAGCGGTACCGGAGCGCCAAGTCTAGGTCCAAGAGGCTTCTAAAGAGCTTCTACTCCCAAGCCATAAGACTCCTGAACATCTAATCAAATGGCTACCCAGACTATTTGCACCCACACTGTTGCTACTCTCTGTTTATTATCTATAAATAAATACATCTATAATCTCTACCTACATGTACATATGACCTCAATTACCTCGACTACTGTTATTTTACTGCTGCTCTTTAATTGTTTGTTACTTTTATTTCTTCTTATTTTTTTATTTAATGTTTATTTGGTATTTTTTGGTATTCTTTCTTTAAAACTGCATTGTTGGTTAAGGGCTTGTAAGTAAGCATTTCACTGTAAGGTCTACACTTGTTGTATTTTATTTTATTTGAGACCACATCAGAAAGAAAGGCTCAGACCACAGTAGCATATGAACCACTCCAATATAGACCTGGGCTATGCTGCCCAATACCACACAGAGTTATCTTTACTATGCATTTAAAACAGTAGTCAAGTCAACTGATGATTGGTTTTATGATTGATACCAATGATTTACACGGGATGCAACCATGATCATCATTCCTGTCATCGCAGTGCACATTAACGTTAATGATTGTCAATGGCATCACCATGTAGCCTATTATGCATTGGTTGTTGTCACTTGATTTGGTCCATAAAATCAACCTCTCACTCCTGCCTGGAGTTAATCAAGTAGAAAACTGCCTGCCTCATAATCCTGCTTCTCCTAATATGTGTCATTATTTGTGCCAACTGAAGCTAGGGTTAGGGTTAATTCTAGGGTCAGGGTCAATTCAGTAGGTGGACAAGAAGCTAGGGTTAGAGTTGGGCTAGGGCCAACCTTAAACTTGACCAGCCCTTGGCACTGTTTTTATGCTATTATAGTTATTAAATGCACTCTTACAATTAATTACATTTTATGTGTTGATTTTATTGAAGTGCCTACGTGTTGTTGTATTGTAAGCTTTATAAATTGTTTTGTATTCCTATATTATATATTGTTCTACACAATTTACTAATGAATACAGTTGACACAGCCTGCATGCACTTTGGAAACCACAGTCTGTTCATATAAAATAAATGCAAATTGTTAACACAAGAAGCACAAACAGAATATGTAATCTTGACAAGAAAGGGTTAAAACCTAATGAATGTATATTCTGTTTGGTGGGGGAAATTATACAACACAGATACCTGTAAAGTGTTGACATGCTGAATACATCATTTAAAGGAATAGGAGCAAATTGATGAGACTCCACTGACACCTATTGACTCTCACTATTAACTTGCCCTTGAAAATATAAGTGGTTGTTTTTACCTCAAGTAGCCTGTGACAGGATGTGTGTGTGGGCGTTGACAGAAAACGAGGGCAAGCATGCTTTGCAACGCATCGAGTAGAGCGTGCATCAGGTCTGCAAAAGTGGTCAAGGAAGTATCTGCATGAGAAAAGAGATCACACCCTCATTTATACAAATGCATGCTTGCTTTGATGTATTTTATTGTCAAAATATCATAAGTCATGTTGTTAACATTGAGACAGATGAAGACACCTCAGACAAACGTAGACAAAGACACAAAAAGATGAACAGTAAGTTAGATGTTGCATACATCTCCTGTACATATGTGATATATATGTCCTGCAAAATATTCTTGCTTGATATCAGGGTCCGGTAATGCTGGAAGCAGAATGGAAATCACAAAGGGTTATGGTTCTGATTAGTGTTGATCCGGGGTGTGGACACGAAGCTAGGGTTAGGGTTAGGGTTAGGGTTAGAGTTAGGGTTAGGGTTAGGGTTAGGGGTAGGGGTAGGGGTAGGGGTAGGGTTAGCGTTAGGGTGAGGGTTAGGTTTAATTTTGATCCGGGGTGTGGACATGAAGCTAGGGTTAGGGTTAAGGATAGGATTAAGGTTAGGTTCAGGGTTAACTATTCCCGCTCAGCCCAGTCAAAGCTATTCGCTGCTCTGGCACCCCAATGGTGGAACAAGCTCCCCCACGACGCCAGGACAGCGGAGTCACTGACCACCTTCCGGAGACACTTGAAACACTACCTCTTTAAGGAATACCTGGAATAGTATAACAGTAATCATTCTACCCTCCTCCCCCACGCCCCCATTAAAAAAATTATACAAAAAATACATAAAAAAATAAAGAATAATAATAATAAATAAAAACATTATATTTTTAAAAAAGACACACAAGAAAAATACACAAAAAAAGGGAGTGGTTGTCCCACTGGCTATCCTAAGTTCAATGCAGCAATTTGTAAGTCGATCTGGATAAGAGCGTCTGCTAAATGACTTAAATGTAAATGTAAATGGTTAGGTTAAATGTTGATCCGGGGTGTGGACATTGAAGCTAGGGTTAGGATTATGGCTGAGCCGGGGAGTGAGCATGAAGCTAGGGTTATGGCTAGGGTTAGGGTTAAGCCGGGGTGTGGACATGAAGCTAGGGTTATGGCTAGGGTTAGGTTTGAGCTGGGGTGTGGACATGAAGCTAGGGTTAACGTTATGCCTAGGGTTAGGTTTGAGCCGGGGTCTGGACATAAAGCTAGGTTTATGGCTAGAGTTAGGGTAGAGCCGGGGTGTGGACATGAAGCTAGGTTTAACCCTGCACAATTTAGTAATAAATACAGTTGACTCTGCCTGCATGCACTTTGGAAAACCACAGTCTGTTCATATGAAATAAATGCAAATTGTTAACACAAGAAGCACAAACAGAATATGTAATTGTGACAAGAAAGGGTTAAAACCTAATGAATGTATATTCTGTTTGGTGGGGGAAATTCTACAACACAGACACCTGTAAAAAGTTGACATGCTGCATGCATCATTTAAAGGAATAGGAACAAATTGATGAGTCTCCACTGACACCTATTTACTCTCACTAGTAACTTCCCCTTTAAAATACAAGAAATGTGACGTTTTCACCTTGTTGGACAGAATGTTGAACGCTAGATAGAACAATTGTATCATTATTATTCATAGAAAAACCTTGTCACTGGACTTTATAACTGTGGAGGGCAGTCTATAGGAGGAGCACAGACAAAGAAGGGGTTGTGGCTGAAGAGTGAGAAGCAGTGGACGAGCCACCTGGCTCACTTGGGCCTGATAAATCCATCCTTCAAATGGTGTAATGGGCAGCACATGTAGGATAAGAAGGTACCTCACCTGAAGATCAGCCAGGAACTGCAGAAACGGCTGTTTGTTGGTAAATATAAAGAAAACCCTTTATACTATACTTACACTTTGCTGACCGCATTTAAATGTTGAGGAGGTTCTGAGAATAAAGCCACTAAATCCTCACAAGAATAATGAACTTGAATTACTTTTCATATCTAGTGACCCAGACCAAAACAGTGCAAGAGCCTTTTTATGTTTGCCTGGCCCATTACCAGTCAGTTGGCTTCAGCTATGTTCCTCTATAGAGTGCAGTACATGGATTTACCACAAGCGGACCAAACCACTGAGCATGTCCATGTTGAGAGCAGTGATGTCATATAATGTATGCAGACTGTATGTATATGATGTGGTTAAAAGACCTGACTGTAGCAGAATAGGAATATGCATCAAATTGACAGAATCTGTCAATGCTCCAATCAAATTAAGGACAGGTGAAACATTTGAGTCATGAGCTTTATTTACAGGAGACATTAAAATCATTATTCATTAGTGTTTTGATGTTTAAAAAATGAGGGTTAGATACACGTTCATAAAGAAACTGGATAATTCCAGCTGATGTGGTTCCTGCTGAGATTTTTGTACAGTGTGTTTAGGTTTCCTGTCACTGTGGACCTCACAGCACAGTAGTAGTACAGCGCAGAGTCTGTCACTTCAGCAGAGGAGATCTCCAGATCCACACGGTTTTTCTCTTCATTCAGTTTTGCAGATATTTGAGTTTTCAGAGGATCTGCTTTCTTTAACTCTGTACCTGAGATGTACAGGAGGAACGTTGGCCTTTGTGCTGTGTCTTGATGATACCAATAGACTTCATCTCCACCAGTAGCTGTTCTGGAGTAGTTGTAAGACAGGGTAACAGGGTTCCCTCTAAACAGAACTCTTTCTTGAGTGGAGTGAGGTCCTCACAACTGACACCTGCATAGAGAATGGTTTTTAAACACACATTTAATTGTTCATGAAAATGTATTTGAAGTATAATTTATTTCAAGTGAACAAGTATGGCAACACGTTGTATTGAATTGAATTGTATTGTATTGTATATTGCCTACAAATAAATATAGTCAGGAACAACACTGAATACAGCAACACCATCTTAGATGAACAGAGACAAACTGACAGAAAGATCTAAGCAGTCTCTGAAAGTTTCCTCCTGTTTTTATGTTTCTATACTGCTGTTGAACCCCTCCTCTACTATAAGTCCCTCCCCTTAACATACAGTAGGTATGTTACATATGTATGTCATACAGGATGTCTGTTTCCTCCCATGGTTCTTGACAGGTTTCTGAGTTTCCTGTCACTGTGGTCTTCATGGCACAGTAGTACAGAGCAGAGTCTTTTACTTCGGCAGAGGAGATCTTCAGATCCACACATTTGGTCTCTGTATCAATATAAACTAACAGACTACCAGGCTACACATTTTCTTGGAACTCTGTATCTATCATCCATAGAAGGAATATTGGCATTTTCCCAGCACTGGTCTGATGATACCAGTATAATCTATTTCCAGTTGTAGAAGTTGAGGAGTAGTTGTAGGACATGGTGACGGTGGTTCCCTCCAAACCATGCACTTCATTTCTTAAAGGAGCAGTAGCATTCTCAAAACGTTCATCTGTTTAAAAAAAGGGTAGTTGTAATGCTTATGTTGATGAAATGAAACTGTAATATAAAACATAATTTAATAAATATGCATCATTATCAGGTGTCATTTACCTACAAATGTGCATAGCAGTAGCAATGCATTCAGAAACATCATATGTGCTGACTCTGAATATTTACTCCTCTGTTGCCTAGATATATCTTACTTTATTTCTGCTTATTGTAGCTCCTCCCATTCTCACTGGTTTCTTCCCAAGGCACTTGAAAGGTTTTGGTACAGTCTGTCTGGGTTTCCATCACTGTGGGCACCATGGCACAGTAGTACAGAGTCTGTCACTTCAGCAGAGGAGATCTTCAGATCAACACGTTTGTCCATTTTGTCAATGGATGTATAGCTGTGAGAATAGACCCCTCTGCTGTGATGTACATGAGGAATTCTTGTTTGGATCTGGGATATTGGCGGTACCACTGTAGATTGTAGATAGTGCCATCATGTTTGCAGGAGAGATGGACATTCCTTCCCTCCTGAACAAGCTCTTTAGTAGTCGCAGGGTTTTAATCAACAAAACTGTTCCTGCAAAAAATGTAACAGTACAAATTGTAGTTGTAACTGACGTTTAACAAATGTTCCGTAACTGTTAAAAATATGTAAGTATACTGAGCAAAAACATAAATGCAACATGTAACAATTTCAATGATTTTACTGAGTGTGCATTCAAATTGCCATCGATAAAATGCTATTTTGTTCGTTGTCCATTGCTTACGCCTGCCCATACCATAACCCCACCGCCACCATAGGGCACTCTGTTCACAACGTTGACATCAGCAAACCGCTCGCCCACACAACGCCATACACGTGGTCTGCGGTTGTGAGGCCTGTTGGACGTACTGCCAAATTCTCAAAAATTACGTTGGAGGCGGCTTATGGTAGAGAAATGAACATTAAATTCTCTGGCAACAGCTCTGGTGGACATTCCTGTGGTCAGCATGCAAATTGTACGCTCCCTCAAAACTTGAGACATCTGTGGCATTGTGTTGTATGACAAAGCTGCACATTTTATTGTCCCCAGCACAAGGTGCACCTGTGTAATGATTATGCTGTTTAATCAGCTTGATATGCCACACCTGTCAGGTGGATGGATTATCTTGGCAAAGGAGAAATGCTCATGCTCACTAACAGGGATGTAAACAAATTTGTGCAAACATTTTCAGAGAAATACTCTTTTTGTGTGTGGAAAATTCATGGGATCTTTTATTTTAGCTCATGAACCATGGGACACTTTATATTTTTTTGTTCAGTGTAAAATCTACGATATTATTGTACTACGATACATTTGCTGATAAGCATGTTAGTCTCCCTATATTGGATATTGTATAAAACTGTTCATTATCTCAATTTATTTTCTTGATTTTAGGTCAACATAGTTGGCAGAAGGACCTGACCTGTCTACTGTGATATCGTAGTGGAAAACATTGCTTGAAGGGAAGATCTGTAAGATAATTCCTACATTCAACATGAGGCATTCATATTCATCGTTTATTTTGGTTTCATATTTCAATCTAGAATCTAAAGTATATGTCAGCAAAACAATCAAATAGCCTTATTGGGTTTCTCTCACTTTTCCATTCAAAATTTGAATCAACATCTTTTTTTGTTGTTTATTGAAAATATTAAATTGTTCCTTTTCAGTGTACAGTGGGGAAAAAAGTATTTAGTCAGCCACCAATTGTGCAAGTTCTCCCACCTAAAAAGATGAGAGATGCCTGTAATTTTAATCATAGGTACATGTCAACTATGACAGACAAAATGAGAAGAAAAAAAATCCAGAAAATCACATTGTAGGATTTTTTATGATTTTATTTGCAAATTATGGTGGAAAATAAGTATTTGGTCAATAACAAAAGTTTCTCAATACTTTGTTATATACCCTTTGTTGGCAATGACATGTCAAACGTTTTCTGTAAGTCTTCACAAGGTTTTCACACACTGTTGCTGGTATTTTGGCCCATTCCTCCATGCAGATCTCCTCTAGAGCAATGATGTTTTGGGGCTGTCGCTGGGCAACACGGACTTTCAACTCCCTCCAAAGATTTTCTATGGGGTTGAGATCTGGAGACTGGCTAGGCCACTCCAGGACGTTGAAATGCTTCTTACGAAGCCACTCCTTCGTTGCCCGGGCGGTGTGTTTGGGATCATTGTCATGCTGAAAGACCCAGCCATGTTTCATCTTCAATGCCCTTGCTGATGGAAGGAGGTTTTCACTCAAAATCTCACGATACATGGCCCCATTCATTTTTTCCTTTACACGGATCAGTCGTCCTGGTCCCTTTGCAGAAAAACAGCCCCAAAGCATGATGTTTCCACCCCCATGCTTCACAGTGGGTATGGTGTTCTTTGGATGCAACTCAGCATTCTTTGTCCTCCAAACACGACGAGTTGAGTTTTTACCAAAAAGTTCTATTTTGGTTTCATCTGACCATATGACATTCTCCCAATCCTCTTCTGGATCATCCAAATGCACTCTAGCAAACTTCAGACGGGCCTGGACATGTACTGGCTTAAGCAGGGGGACACGTCTGGCACGGCAGGATTTCAGGGAACAGCCCTGGCTAGAGAGAAGATGGAAGAATCAAATGAGAAGCATTTGAAGAAGTGTAGAACAATGACAAGCCTACGTGAAACAGCCACCAAACAGCGAAACCTGAAAGAGGCTTTTGAAAAGAGTATGCATCCTGTTGCAGCTGAGTGGCCGGTTTGATCGCCTGAAGTGGAAAGGAACACATATTGAATAAGCAATTCCAGGACAGACATTTAAAGATGTCACAATACATGGTACAGATCAAGAAATGCGAGGGAGAAGATCCATGCTGGTACTGCTTAATGAATCCTCCATCCTTGCCAGAAGAACAATTTAAGAATTTAAGGTCTGTGCCTGATCCAGCATTGACAGCAGACAGACGTGAGTACCAGATATTTGATGATCTGTACAGCTTGGACACCACTGATAAAGATAGGCCTTTTTTTATCTGACACCAAATATAGAACATGTAAAGAGGAGTGCTGCCATGGTCAGTGCAAAGGCGAGAGCGACCATCAACTGTGTTTAATGTAAGAAATCAAGGTACTTGTATGCCAAAAACAAGCTGTCTAAAGAAGGACAGGAAGCAGTCAAACGCATTCGGGATGAGAAAATGTTTACGTGGTTCAGAGCTTTTCCAAGAAGACAATCCATATCACGAGCAGATAGTTGCTTTCAAGGGGCTAACCTGTGGAATGCAAGTGGAGACGCAGTATTACTCAGCAATCACAGTGTCATTCCCAGATGTGTGTGTCCATTGTGGATGTCCAAATGTTCTTGAGGGGGAAGAGGTGGTAAGGATCAAACAACAATTCCAACATGTCAGGCCAATGTGCACAGTGTGTAAGCAAGAAGGAAAGCAGTTCATTACGAGAGCTCCAATAAATCTTAAAAAGAAATGAACACCCTAGAGACCAGAAAAAAATAAAAATAAAGGACAAAACAGACCGTACTGTTGAACAGTAAAAAACAGCATGTGATTGTGCTATTGCCTCTGACCACAGAACATTGTCCGTCATTTTCATTTCCAGACGATTCTACATGTTGAATCGCCATTGTTTGTTGACACCCAGAAGGTGATCTACTGCACACGGCCAACTTTAGTCATGGTGTTGTGGTGGCCGAACAACGATGCTGATATGCTGCCTTGACAAGGAATCCGCTGACACTGTACTTTGATTATAAAGGTTTATTATATCAAAAGATTTCAGCGTCAATTTACAGATTTCTGCAGAATCTGGAGAACAACTAACCCAATCTCAAAGATGATTATTCTCTCCGTCCTTTGTTCAAAACCTGGTATATAGCCTATGTAACATAAGATGGGTGTTTTGAATAGACCAATCCCTGGCCTCCACATATCTCCATGTCCACTGTTTCAGGGGGCCCCTATAGTAATGCTTTCCAGATGTTTCAGCAAAGCAGAGTAAAGTTCATCTAACACACCATTTGCAAACGTCAGCCAAAATTATAAACTGTTCAGATACTACATATTTCCCCCCTTCGAGACTAATTAAGTCTCGAAAACAAAAATAATAGGATTATGACAAATAACAATTTTTATTACATCAGTAACTTTAGCAATAAAACAAAATTTATGAAGAGTAAACACATTTTTGTGTAGACAAATTTTCATGGAGTGTGAACAAATTTTTATGGAGTGTGAGAGCGAAAAACCTGTCTGGCAGCTTTCATTCCAAATATCCATCAATCAATCAAGACAGGAAAATTCTCTCACGGCCCCTCTGCCCCAGGCGACCACCTAAGTACTCCAGATCAATTTATACATTTTTATCAATGCATTTTAAGCTATGATGCAATTGAATACACATGAAAACCTCAGAAAACAAAATACAGTCAAACATTTCCACATTCAGGCTGGTCGACCCATCGGACCCTCCTGTGGATTCTCTCTCTCCCTGCCTAGACCCAATATCCCTAAGCATCCACGAAAAAAAAAATATATAACTCTGAGGTCCCCACATGTAACCAACCACAGAAAACATCATTCTTCAAAACATTAATACAGAAAGAATATGACACAAATTATGTATTACACATGCAAATATGGATATAAATCATTGCAGACACTGGAATGTAATCCACTACACTGCATCTCCTCAGCAGTGTCGACTTTCAATGTAACGTCGATGATGGAATCTGAACATTTCCACACCTTCCTTGTTCAACTTCCTCCAGTCCATTCATATTGTCCATGTTTCAGTATTTGAATCTCACTCTACACATTCCCTATACTTCTGGAAGTAAAGAAAACACCAACCAGTATCTTTTGCAAAGCAACACATGCAAATTAAAACATCAATATCAAAAATTATATAAAAATCATATATAAAACGAATCACATTCCATTTCCCCCCTTTGATTCATAAGAAAATACTAAATATCACAACAATATGCAAAGAAATTTGAAAATTATCACACAATCAGATATTCAAAATTTCCTAGAGTTACTTCAACCCTAGTTTTCATAACATTTTGGTCTGACTTTTTTCCCAATTTTTTGAAAAATCAATTTCACTGATTTATCCACAAAACTCTTTCCCACTTTCTGAGGACATTCAATCGGGAAATCCCCACCTGCTTATGTCATATTTACACAATAACTTTGCAACCGACTGAGCGTCTTTTCGCTTGGTTTGACATGCCTCCTGCCATCGTGAAAATCTATCTACAACCACCAGCATTGATCTTTTCCCTTCAATTGGTTTTATCATATCAACAAATTTGATAACCAACTCCCGCATAGGACCTCTCGGTGTAGGAATGTGACCAGGAA